TTATGCCTCTGAGAATTCAGAGGCAATCCTAGCATGGCTCCCAGCCAAAAATGTAGCTAAATTTAGCTATTGTATCCACTCTGTAGTGGTGGCAAGTAAAACCAGTAGTTTAGATCTACAAGTTGCACTGGTCCTATTAATATGTTGAATAAGCTGCAGGGAATATTCACTAGCATAAAGACAGAGGCTTGTCACTGCACTTCTGTGGGGGGGAATGTGCCCTTTGTGTGCATTGATTGGCCTGATGAGCTCACTCTGCACCGTTCCAGTGTAGATATGCACCAGCCCCAGTGTGTTTTGCCATTTTAATTAAACTCTTGATTTAAAGTCTCCACTCAACAGTCCTCTCCACAGAGTACAGTAGAGTGGGGGTGAGAGCGTGTGTGTGTGTGTGCGTGTGTGTGTGTGTGTATAAGTGAGAGACTCTGAGACACATAGACAGAAAAAGAGATGGAAAGAGAAATTATTGGTAGATATGTGTACATTTTGAATGCAGTAGACTGTTTCTCTTTTTGTCTCTACCCTCTATTTGTTATGAGCACGCCTATTCATCTGTCTCCAAATAATGATTTACTAAGTGTGACCAAACAAATTCATTTTCCCTGACATAAAAATCAATCACTTGCTGAGACATATGAGTAAATAGAATCTCCTTGTGTATTCTTATGTGCAGTATATCAAACCCAGAAAATGTGGACACCAGCATACAGGGAGGACTCTCAGGGCTGTTTCTGCTTCACAATACCTAGCTGTGCTTTGATGTTCTCTCTGGCCAGAAAAAACCACAATAGCCGCTCGCCGCCAGCACAGACACATTTGTTTGCTCAGAAAATTATTTAGTCAGAATGAGAATCAAACCAGTACACTAGTGTTTAATTCAATCACAGCTGTCAGTATCCATATAGTAGTGAATGAGTAATCTAGTTGTTATGGCAATTAATCAAGTAATGAAATTGATGGACTTAACTGAACAACAACAAACCATGCATAGCTTTTCAAAGGTTACAAAATACATCACTTGAAAAAAATGGGAAGCCTTTATTTATTTACTTTATATATACTAAGAGTTGGTTTCCTACACAGGTGTCAAGCACAATGGCACAGTCTTGAACTATAATTTCCTTTTAGTGGAGAATCTCCATTTATAGACGTGAGTTGTCCCTGGCTAGGTTTAATCCCCGTCTGGGAAACTGGCTCTAAATGTATGTATACAGTCGTATGGAAAAGATTGGGCACCCCAAATCAAAAATATATTTTATTAATTTTGTAAGTGAAAATAAGTGCACATACTCTACAGCGAACACACTTCTGCACAATTTAATTCACATTTACTGTTCATTTGCTGAATTTAAGATATTAAAAAAGTTTGTTTAATTTTTTCCCTAATATTTTAAGCTTAGCAAATACATAGAAATTGTGCATTAAAAGTTACAAGAAAATGCTATAGTTAAGTTTGTTTTGTGAAGTGAAAATATGTGTTATTTCACTTAGAAAATCAACAAAATGTACAATCATGTGCAAAAGTTATGGCACATCTTATATTTTAGGTTTCTTGTTTCAGCAAATACACAGAAATAGTGCACTAAAATGAGTGGAAATGCCATGTTTTGTTTCATGTAGAGGTGTGTTTGCTGTAGATTACGGGTACTTATTTTCACTTACAAAATCATATATATATATATACGATATATATATGATTTTGCATTACACACATACAGTGCCCTCCACATATATTGGCACCCCTGGTAATCAGGAGCAAAATGAGCTGTAAAAATATTCTTAATGACTTATCCTTTTGATCTTTCATTCAAAATATTAGCAAAAATTTAACATTTATTTAAGGCATAATGATTGAAAGAAAAAACTAAATCCTGTCATGAAATAAATATTTTTCTTAAGTCTGTGTATGCTACAATTGGCACCCCTAGAAATTCTTAAGAGTGAAATCTAACAAAAGTCTATTTTCATTCATATTTTATGTTTTTAAGTTCACCTGAGCGATTAGGAACACCTAATGGTCAGCCATGACTTCCTAATTCACTAGGGAATATATAAGATGAAACACAGGCAAAATTCCCTCATTGTCCATCACTATAAGAATACAGCAATGATGTCTGACAAAAGGTTATTGAACTGCACAAATCAGCAAATGGTTACAAGAAACAGTTCAACTATCAGGACAATAAATGGTTGGATCCTAGAATCAACACAAAAAACACTCATGGAAGACAGAATTAAGGTTTTGTTATGGCCACCCCAGTCCCCTGACCTAAACCCTATAGAAAACCTGAGGAATAAACTGAAGCTGAGAGTCCAGAAGCATGGACCTCAGAATCTGAAGAATCTGGAGAGGTTCTATTAGGAGGAATGGTCCTTTTCTATGTGTTCTCCATCCTTATGAAGCATTATAGGAGAAGCCCCAGAGCTGTTATCTTTGCAAAAGGAGGCTGCACAAAGTATTAAATGAAGGGGTGCCAACAATTGTGGCATACACAAATATTTTTTATTTGAGAAAAATATTTATTTCCTAATAAGATTTTTTTTCATTGTCTTTCAAATAAAGGTTAGATTTTTCATCAAATTAAAAAGGATAAGCAATAAAGAATGTTTTTTTTACAGCCTATTTTGCTCATGTTTACCAGGGAATGCTTTGCAACAAGCGACTTTAAAAATCCATGATGAAGCCAAACTCCACAGGCCAGTAGAGTGTGACATATCCTTTCCAATCAGCCCTGGATCGCATTGCTATCTTTCAGGTAACAGAAGATAAGCACCCGGGAATCTTGCAAATTTGTATATGACTTGGGTGCACCTTAGGTGGCCTTGCTGAGAGGCTCGCCTGCTGATACACCCATTACTGACACATCCACACATGAGTCAAATGTCACACATTCCTGTGAGAGCAGTGGAACTGCATTCTCTGGAGTGATTCAGCACCATCCAATAACTTTGGGTTCAAACATCTGTACCTGACCTCATTAATCCTCTTGTAGCTGAATGCAGTCAAATCCTCAATGCAGTGTACTAGCATATCGTATAAAGCCTTCCCAGAAAAAAGTAGATGCTGTTATTGCAGCAAAGGAACAAACTCCCTAGTAATACCCTTGAAATATGCTGCATGAACAGGTGTATACACTCTTCTGTATATGTATGTATATGCACACACTACATACACTACTCTGGCATATATAAACACAATGTGTCAAGAAACACATATAAATGTGTCCATTAGGTCCTGCTTTATATTTTAAAATATGCATTATCATCATGCACATTTCCAACCAATAATTCCCAAATGACCGAGAAGGTACATTTTAATTATTATTTTTTTTAAGTAGTCGAGTTAAATCAAGTAGTTGGCCCTAACTTCAACTGAATCCAGAATCTAGAATCCAGTGGTTACTTAACCTGCATAAGATTTAGAAAACACTGGCAAAATACAATAAGCTTGCTATGGAACTTGGGTTATGTGTGCCTTCACATGGCATGTACTTGTAGGAAATGTTTACATTCTTGAACCAGTTACTTTGCATACAGTTTGTGAAACAAATTCATTTTAGTGACAAAACTGCACCTATCCTGGGCACCTGAGGGCTTAAACTCCATTCTGCACTAAATAATGGTCATTGTCTTTCTCTCCGTGCCACCTCTCACATAGCAATTATAGTCAGTGCACAGCCTCAGTCTCACACTCAGCAAATAATCTCACACCTCCCAGAAATCCGAGGGTCCCCCACTGCTTTGGGCTCATCATCACTTATTATCGCCTTCTTAATAGAAGTGGTTGCTATGGAAGCCACCAGTTCCGAGCCTGGGGACAGCATTAGGTAGAGATATTCCTGTACCAGACTCTATCATTTCTTAGTGCATGCACTGCAGCATTAGGAATCTACCCCTGAAGCACAGACTAGCCAGTGAGGCTTGGTAAGGAATTTGAACTATTACAGTGTTCATTTTTAAATTGTATTATTAGAGTAGTTGTAACATTAGAGTAGTTAGGTGTAAATTACCTTAATTTGTAAATTGTAGAAATCAGGTGATATAATGCACTTTTATGCAAGGCATGCTCATATGACTTTTTAGAAGGCTAAAAAAAACTTTCATATGGCAACTTGGTTTATTTATCACCATTCCTAAAGGGCAAGATTCAAGTAAGCTTAAGAGATATGGGGTAAAAACTATTTGAAGGGGCTATGAAAATGTGTATTCTGCCGTGCTGATAGAACCACATTACACTAGTGACCCCTATTGTTTTGTGCTGAAAGTGCACCTAGTAGAACAAGGTATTTCGAATACTCTGGGCTCAGTGCATCTGACTAATTTCTCCTTTTCTTATTCACAGACTCTGTCAACCAGCAAATCGAAAGGACAACCTGTGGCTTCCTATCCAAGCATCATCACTTACAGGACTTACAGTTCTCAGCTAGGATCAGTAGCAGAGAGCTGAACCGAGCTATTTTAGCATACATTGCAAGCTGCACTTGCTCACTGTTAAGTCTAACTGTGCAAGTGTGACCCTGAGGCCTGCCAGCTCAGCCATGCTGTTTATCTGGGCCAGCTGACACAGATGAGTGGGTCTATGTTTGTCAGATGAGGTTCAGGCAGATGTTGCAGTTTGCCTCAGTTGAAGATACATGTGTGCAGATATTCCATTGCACCACCTCAGAGGTGCTGACTGATGTGAAAGGCTCAGCCATGGAGGCTCAGAGCTGCATGAAACTGTGAAAACACTGAAGGAGTAAGGCGACACACCCGACTCCATGGAACTCCGCTGAAAGTGCACAAGGTTAGCGTTGCATCAACAAGATTTATCCACTTTTCATAGTGGTTAGGGTATGTACATACTTGCACCATCATCAATGGATAATTAAACTTGGTTGAACATTAAATAATCCTCTAGTTACCTCTGGGCTTTAACAGGAGTACAAATCCTGTTTATTATTCTTTTTTTAATTGGGTAACTTAACAGATTGTGAAGTGAGAGCAGAGGAACCCTCATCATGGTTTTGCCACCCCCTGACAAGCGGCACGTGTGTCTAACCACCATCGTCATAATGACCAGCATGGCTTTCATGGATGCTTACTTGGTGGAGCAGAACCAGGGTCCACGGAAGATCGGTGTTTGCATCATTGTCCTGGTGGGGGACATCTGCTTCCTCATAGTTCTCCGCTACGTTGCTGTGTGGGTGGGGGCTGAGGTTAGGACTGCAAAGCGTGGCTATGCCATGATCCTCTGGTTCCTTTACATCTTCGTTCTGGAAATCAAGCTCTATTTTGTGTTCCAGAACTACAAGGCTGACCGCAAGAACCTGGAAACTGTAGCTCGAAAAGCTTTGACTCTGTTACTTTCAGTTTGTGTTCCAGGGCTGTATCTTGTCCTGGTTGCCCTGGACAGCATGGAGTATGTTAGAACCTTCCGTAAGAAGGAAGACATGCGTGGTCGATTGTTCTGGGTGGCGCTGGACCTTTTAGATGTGCTAGACATCCAGGCCAACCTGTGGGAGCCACTGCGAACTGGGCTGCCCATCTGGGCTGAAGGGCTAATGTTTTTCTACTGTTACATCCTGCTGCTGATTCTACCATGTGTATCTCTGAGCGAGATCAGTGTGCAGGGTGAGCATGTGTCCCCGCAGAAAATGATGCTGTACCCTGTGCTCAGCCTTGTCACCATTAACGTTGTCACCATTCTCATCCGTGGGGTCAACATGGTACTGTTCCAGGACAGTCGTGTCTCCACAATCTTTATTGGCAAGAATGTAGTGGCCATAGCCACAAAGGCCTGCACATTCCTGGAGTACCGGCGACAGGTGAAGGAGTTCCCACCACAAGATCCTGCAGGCATTGCTATGGAGATCCAGCAGAACTCAGTTCCGCATAACCAAACTCTGCCAAACGCTACTACGAGCCTGCCAGAAGAGCCATCACCACCCTGTGAGGTCATTGACACGTGACCAAAGCTGACATAGACATTATACATCATCTGGACATCTTAGACTGACTATGACTTGGTCTTTAGCCGGGATGAAATAAACCATTATTGACTATTCTAGTTCAGGGAATAGCTAAGGAATATTCCTGACTCCTTTGGACTAGATTAGCTTGATGTTCAAAACTAAGATTCCTTTTTTAAGAGTATTTTTATCTTTCTGTTGTAAAGTTAATGCTCAGTGGCAAGTCACAGCCAAATGAAAGTGAATCCTTGAAATTTGTAGGTGAATCCAGAATTTTCAATCAGTTGTTTTAATCATGTTACATGTAGGATGAATTTTTGATAAGACTCCAGAAGCATTAATATTGGACAGAGAATCGAATGAGAAGAGCAAATATGTCATGGCCTGTCTGGATATACAGCTATTACAAAAGCATCAGCTATGAAGACACGTTAACATAAACTCTTAAAAAAGATCTAGAGGAGTTTGTGGGGTTCCAGACACAACTATTTAAGGATGGTAGGTTTTTTAGCTCCTCAGTTATGACTAACAGTTCTTCAAAGTGTGTGGATGTGAGGAGCCATGTCATCATAATGATAACTTTAATATTTAAAGAATTATTAAGCATTGGGAGAAATGGAAACACTTCTTGGATAATTCTTTATGGAGCTATCTATCCTATTCTGCACTTTTGATGTAATTCCTGGAGGCTATACAGTGGTTGTTGGCCATCTTTACCAACATAAAACTAATTCTGAACTTCATCCAACAACAGAGCAGTGTCATAACTATTGGGGGCATTGGGGGTGCCCCTCATATTGGTACTGACACAATTGTTTACCCATGACTCAGAGACATATCCAATTTTTAACAACTTACCTCACTAGTTAGCTTTCAGTAACACTACACAGGAAGTCCTGATGTCTATTCAACTCCCTTTTTTTCATAATGCATCTCATCCATGGTAGTGGCCTTACAACAGATCCTTCACAACCTACAACAGGGTTATTATTTAAAATTACAGATAGTCTAACATAAACATTTAGGTTAACATGCTAGTGGGAACACTTAGTGGGTAGAGTGCCAACTTGTTTGAAACAGAACAATAGCAAAAGAAAATTATACAGTCATTTTTTAATACATTGAAAATAATTTTCTTATGGGGGTCCTTCTGCACTGGGTCCCATATGACCATAGGTATGCTATTGCAAGAGAGTAAGCATCCAAAGGGCCAGAAAATGGTCAATAATGCATCCAAAGTGCCAAGAATTTGTCAATTTTATATATATATATATATATATATATATATATATATATATATATATATATATATATTTGTTTTAATTCAGTTTTAATTCTGAGAGGGTGATCCCTGACACCAAAATGGTTCAGTATGGCACCCCATAATGGTTGTATGTGTAACTGTTTATTTTAAGAGATTATGAATAGTTTATAGTTTTCATCTGAAGCTGTGAGAATCTAATGCATTCAGCAGATATTCATAATGGTTTTGTTTCCATATTAAGGTTATACAGTAAAATCCTCAGTATTGAGACTTGAAATAATTCTTGCAGTGTTCACAGTTCACAGTTGTATTGAAAGTACACTGGGATTTTACTGTGTAAATGTGTTACGAACTTTATGTTTTTGTATGTGGTTGTGAGAGACAAAAAATAAGACATGAATGGAAAATTAAGGCTATCTGAGAGAAATCTGTAAACTTATTACATCAAATCCTAAAAAAACTGTCGGTGCAAAAAGGTTAATTATTATTATTAGTATTATTATTGTTATTATTTCTTTTTTATTTTACAATTCTTTATCAATACCCTTCAACTGTGACATTTTAAAAGTTATTATTAAATGCATTTTAATGACATCTGAAGCTTGTTTTGACACTTATGATCACATGGTAAGAAGTTGATCCAACAAATATGCAGCTGTAATGTTCCCAGAGTCACACCAACATTTCCATAATTTCAATTACATTCATAATACATTTGTTTAGACATTTACACATGGACACAATCCCACAAACTCACCCAACAGGACCAGCATCCAGAAGGGAGGGTACGGTGAAGATTATTATGCCGTCATGGGCTTTGGCTGATAGGTAGACTCCTCCTTGTTTTAGAGACCTGTACTGAGGAGACATCTGCAACACTTCCACTTCATCTGTGTTCTTAACCTCATCCTCCTCAGCTCATCATTGTCCAAAATATTCAAAATATATTATGAAAAGAAAAAAAATCCTAATAGCTTTTATGAGAAGTGGACCTCTCATGTTGAGCAAAGCTAACAATCTACTGTTACGTCTAAAAATCTGACATAGATATAAGTGTATAAGAACAAATGAAACACTTAAAGTCTACCTCTCACTATCACACAAGATGAGATATTTATAGTAGAACATGACCTAAGGCCTCAACAGAACATTCAATGGATTAGTCGCTTTCTAGCTCTGGGAATGAGGTCAGGTGGATAGTATGGCTGTGGCCTCATTTAATTTCCATCCATATGTTTGTTAAAAATCATTTAAAGCACACGTACATGCTAAAATGGCTTTAGCACAATAAGTATATTTTTTCACTCTCTGACCAATTCACTTAAAGAGAGTTGAAAACAGGAGGTGAAGGCCACGCCACCAGAGGGAGATAGACAGCCTGCATTAGAAAATGAAGAACAAATAAATCATTCTGAACCACCTACTTTGACAAGAAGCCATTCTCGCTATTTTCCTTAAATTCTGTCCAAGAAATTGGAAAAAAAGACTGTATGGTTTGTGTTTCTGTATTTGACACTGTTGTGAACAAATGCTGTCAGACCATGTGTGTGAATTTTAATGTTGAAATGGCTGGATTTTTTTAAAGAAAAAAAAAATAAAACCAGACAGATTAACTTATCATGCATTCTTCTGCACATTTTAATCTATTTGTAACCTGACACCACAAATGAACATCTTACCATAAAATATAAAGATTTTTTCTCTTTTACAACATTTTTATAAAGGTCTTTTTTCAACAGTCAACAGAGATGTCACACAGCTAACATTCAACATTATTTATACACATAATGTACATCCTTGAGCACACTATTCATTCATTTCGAGTTAACAACCAGCAGTTTCTGCATGTAGGAATTCAGCCATTTCTGTCTCTCCATGGCTGTAAGAAGCTTACTTTTCTCCCTGAACGCTGCATCATCTGCTACCACAATGTTTCTCTTTTCCTGGTTGCCCGTTCTTTGGGGCCAGTCAGCTGGCCATCCCTTCTCCAGGTTCTCTTCCACCTGTGACTGGCTCAGGGGGATCCACTCATTCACACTCAGCTGCCCGGTCCTGGGCTTGGCTTCACCAAAGTCTGGGGCAGACAACATCTGGATGCTCCAGTCGCGGAGTGAGATGGAAGGATAGAGGACCTCCCATTGTTCCTGTTTGGAATCGTCTTGACCAACCAGAGGGGAGTTTCTGTATACAGGTAAAAGAGTTTATGCTTTTGTTTCTTCTGTTTCTTTTTTCACAGAAATATGTTCTGAAGGCATCAAAGCAGAGCAGAGTGCACTTACCTCGGCAGTGGTTGAAGGTGGGGTTGGGGGAAGGCAGAAGTCACCAAGATTATACTCATTAGAACAGTGAGCAACAGTGTGGGACGAGTAGACAGGGTTAGAGCCACCATCTGCAGCAAATGGTCACACACAGATAATCCATACAGTTCATTTAAATGATACAGAAATCAAATAATAGTGTCATCTCAAAGATTAATCCAAGATCATCAGAGTTTAAAACCTCATAAATGTCATCTGTTTTCAAATTAAAATTCTAGTTACGATTAATGGACCTGCAATGGTCAATTATAAATCCAACTACGTTACATCATTGCAGATTTATGTAAATATGACTGAGTACATATTGCAGTTTGGTACTAATCTATTTATCATGCGATAGAATTAGATAAGTCAGAAGAATTTTATTGCTCTTTCATTGATGATTAAAATGACCTTTGCATATGTAGTGCACTTACAGATTTTTCCCAAGAAAAATCTGATATATCCTTGCCAAATCTATGCCAAAAAAAAATTAGAAATGTTAGAGGTATTCTTCCTCAGTACTTCAAGAGGGGTACCACAGTCAGTGGACCTCCTATTATTTTATAGCTTTTCACTGTTAGTTGCATATGTTATTTATGAACATATATCTTTCTTACCTTTGTAGAGTTACTGGTCCTTGATAATATTTGCTGCTTCACTGCAGCACGCTGCCTCCAGAGAGTGATGTTGGAAAAGAACCCAAGGCTTTGGTCTGTGGAGTCTGCAGTTCTTCCATGCAATACGTTGGCAGGTACGGCTTCTGCTCCAGTTGCTGTTGTGTCCCTCTAATGACTGGATGTTTTTGGATCACCTGCAATGGTATAAAACTTCACAGCTAGTTTAACCTTCAGGTGTGTTTCAAAGTATGTCTGTAGAACGCATCTGCCAAAGGTGCTGGAAAGAATGTGCTGGAACTTATGTTTGCAGGGGCTTATATACACAGCCTTCCTCTGTCAGAAGGTGTAAAGAGATGGAGAAACGATGAAAGGCCGTGTGTCACACGTCTCTAGATGTCCTGTTTGGCTGGAGTCTTAAAATAGAGTGAGGAATCAGAGGAAAGATGGGAATCTGTTTTGACGTCACAGAGTTTAATGATGTCTCAGAAAAAAAAAAGTAAGAGTGGAAGAGACAAGCGCCCACATCGTTAGATGATGAAAACATGATGTTTCCTTTTCTTTTTCCTATGTGGAACTGATGCCCTTTGACCTTTGTTGACTCAACCTTACAACCTTCCAGTGATCACTGAAGGGGCGTAACCTATAAGGTCATATATGGTGGGGTTAGGTAGGTAACAAGGATTCAGTTTCCAATTTGAATTTATGTCTTTGGTGTCTTCCGGCAGCCTACGCACACATTGCGATTCTAGGCCATGCAAGGTGTTATTCTCGTTAAATTTGATAGGTCCTTTAAGGCTGTTGTCAGAATCGCCCACAACAGATTGTGTTAACACAACCATGTTGACACAACCATAACCATGTATGCACAAGGCAAAGTGTCAATGATGACTGAAGTGTACACAGATGCTTAAAAAGAACTACAATATAGAAGAATGTATTTTTCAGTCATATGTCATGTAAGTAGTCTGTTTTTTAAGTAAAAGAGTGCCCTTGTCCTCATATTTGTTTAATATGTGTTATAAGTCATATATGTTTTGAGGCAATTGGTTTTCTGTTTATTTACAGGGAAGAACATCAAAGTACTTGACTATGATATTCGACCATGTGCTACAGAAGAAGCAGGTTAAGATTAGTTTGAAACAAGCTGCAGCTTTTCTTTAATGGCCTAGTTAAAGTTATAGTTCTCTCTTTCTGTGTGTGTCCGGATGCTGCTCTGACTACTGCTGCTGCCTTAAATGCCAGTGTAAAGAGCAGAAGAGTGCAGAACTCATTGTCTCTCTTGTTAAAAGCCGCATCTTTCCCCTTAAGGACGGCACAGTGGTTTGCATACAGCCCAGGAGGCCTCGTTACCGTAGACCAACTTCATTTGGCCCTCATTTAAAATAATGGGCAGCAGTGTAGTGCACAAGCATCAGACAAGAGGGTCCTAACATTCATTATGGAGCGTGTCAGTGGTGACACGGTCTGGACAGGGCAGAGATGAAGCCGATGGGCAGAACAAGGGAAAAAAAGAGGTACAACACAAATGAGGCCATGGCTGCAAAGAGGATTTGTGCTCGAGCTCTGATCTCAGTTGTGATCCCTCAGAATTGTCATTGCTATAATAGAGACACTCATACACACCCGTGAGTCATACACATTTTTACACAAGAACTCTCACTTCTCCTTTTTGCCCACTCATCCGCTTTTCTCATATCCTTATCTCGACTTCAGTATATATTGCTGTGACAGTAAACAGTAAAATGAAAAGCTCTCTAAAGTTGCCAAACTGGACTGTAGAAAAGAGTGTTTCATTTCTTGGCAAGGCTAAGCCAAACAATGAAGTATAACCTTAAGTTTGTTAAAGTTGAAACAGTTTTCACCATGATGCAAGAGTAAATCATGATATCCTGTTAAAGCCATGCACAAGGTCATGACGTTTATCAGCGACAGAAGTTTTTTTTCTTTTAATGTCTTTTTGTCACATTGAAGTGAGAAATCACCAAAAATCAGCTTATCTGACTCCAGCCATCTAATACAGACAAACTGGTATTTACTTGTGGCCCTCGTAGTGTATGGAATGATGGCACAGAGGCAGAGCTGTGGTTGCCAGAATCAATTTACTACTTTATGCTATTCAGTCACTCTTGATAAATAAAAAGGCAATAGTTGATTTACTCAATGAGTGCCATAATGGGGGAATTCCAACCCCTTATTCAACGTTTTTGCATAATTCAAGTCATTGAGACAGGTTTGATGTGAAATGTTTCGTTTTAGAGAATGAAATGAAGGTTAGTTAAGATTTTGGCCTAAAACACATTTTTTAGCATATTCATGGTGGGTAACTCCTTGCAGGGTGTTGAACAGCAACTATTTTAATGGTAAATCCCCCAAAAAATCTAATAACTAAGACTATATGTATAGGCTTATTGGTTGTTTTGGATATTAAATAAAATATATATTTGCACTGCAAACATCAGAACCCCTGGTTCCTATCGCAACCACTGTAAATAAATATGAACTAGTACGTTTCTGTAAAATGCATCATTTCACACCAAAACAGTCTGAATAACTTAGTTTACATCCCAGTGATTGAACTAAACTTGGAATATCTTTGGAATGCCTTGTGAGCCACAGTGTGAGTGTGTGTTACTGGGGTGCTAAGTGTGTTAGTCATTAAGTCATGTTTAAACATGACTAAGGCTTTGTTGACCCTCAGGCACAGCTAGAAAATGTCCTAGACATACTGAATCTTGAAATAGAAAATATCTGTGGTTTTAAAAAATATTGATGTTTATTTGTTCTGTCCTAATTTATCGTTTTTCCAAAATTGTGTATTGTCTCAGCCCAAGTACAGCATGTCGCATACTGTGCAACCTACATTTTCTTGTACAGCAGGACGCATATTGAGTATGAAATAATGCAGATGTTAATTAAACATGTAGTCTCCAAGTCACAATCATGCAACATACTTCGAATTTCTCACATGATTTGCGGAGGCATAAGTGAGTTAATGCTTAATGGATTAATATTGGAACATTATTAATGGACTTTTGGCACTGTGCAAAACAATTAATCCCAAAAGAAAAGGAAAAGAAAGCATACAATCTGGTCTCCATTACATCTAATATTATTTCTTGTTGACCATGTAGTCCTTTGAGTTGTTATAGAGGGAAGACACTTTAGTGCAACACTGCCACAGTGTTTACCACAGGCTTCAGACTTCAGCCCACTGTTTGAATAAAAAAAAGTGCTAAAAAAAAGTGTTAAAATGATTTTTTCATTTTTAAATGAGTGCCTGCATAACCATGCAACTTCATCAAGAAACCATTGAGTATGAACCTCTATCTGGAAGTGCAAAAAGGGAAGTGTAAACAGATTTGACCATATTACCATTTCTTGTTTCTTTTTAGCAAATATTATTGACAACACATAAAGAACACATGGATTATTAACAGCACACAAAGAAGAAATACTTGAATTGTATACTGCTAAAAAGCTATAGCAAATTGTTTTGGTTACATTTAAAATGTGTACATTGGAAAATACGCTCCATCATCACACTTGTGTCGTACATACAAAGAGTATTAATGTATTCATAACTTGGAATACAATCTAAAATCTTGCGATTAAGATAAAATATCATAAAAACAGTAGGAAAAACAAAGTAGCAAACATTTGATTTAAATTTGTCATGTAAATACAGAATATGCTAAATAAAGACAAAGTAGGCACATGAACTCTCCCAGCATAGAGCAGGCTTGGGCTTATGGGGATTTTCAGTGATACCATTGTCAACTATTTATTTAGCGTCCCATACTGTCACTGTCAGAACAAAACCTTGTATCTCTATCTTTGTTGTTTTTAATATTTTTACACAGTATGAAAATGCCAGCTGCCCTTTAAAATGTTTAACATTTCATGACGATTGAAACAATAAAAATGAAAATTAACATGGAAATAAATCTTCTTCCATTCACTTTCATTCACAGTTAAGGACATTTTTCCTTCTCCTGTAAATTACCATTTTGGAGATACAAAATTTTGTTGCGACAGAAGCGATCTTAATGAAGCTTCTCAGAGTAGGAGTGCTGACCTAGCTGTTCTTGTTGGTAAGATCATAGAGATTAAGAGAAGAATCTGATCTTAAATCAGCACCCCTGCTTTGAGAAGTTTTATGAATACGGGCTCAGGACTGTGCTTAAAGCATGTCTTAAAAAGAGTGTTATCTTTTGCCAATTCAATATAAAACATTCATTACAAATCAGCACCAGAATGACGATGTGGTCTCTGTCAGGTTCAGTCTGTTGGAATCTGCTTTACTTTCCTGCTTTACTAGACAAATCATTTTAGAATGCTGCTGTGTTGTGTGGAGGAGCAGCTGACGACTGGAAGTGGCTGTCCATAGAAGAAGCCTCTTTCCATGAAGAGGAAGTCAAAAAAAGATTTGACGTGTAGCCATTAAAGATAAATACAGAGTAATGAGTAGAGGCACTCCAGTGCTCCTTTGTCCTCATTGACATTCTTAGCTTCTTTCAAAGCAAAGAATGACTATTTCAAAACATTCTTACATCCTTGTTGTAGCTCCTAATACATCAAATGGCAGTCTTGGAGTAACTTGGAAGTGGGTGTCCATAGAAGTAATCTTTTTTCAAAGCAGGGTTTTCTGTATGGAGTTTATTTGATGTGTAGCCTTCAAATACAGAGTAATGAGTAAAGGTACTCAGCGCTCCTTTGTCCTCACTGACATTCTAAGCTTCTTTCAAAGCAAAGAATGACTGTTTCAAAACATTCTTACATCTTTGTCATAGCTTCTAATAGATCAAATAGCAGTAGGCCAGGGCAGTGCCAGAATGACACTACTATATTAATTAATGACGTAATATTCTGTTAAGCTGTTATGTTCTCTTCCAGCAGCAAGTAGTCCTTTGTGTAAACTACTGTATCCTGCTACTTACTCTCATAAGTTTCTCAAATCAAACTGTCCTCTTGGGCAGGTAGCGGCTCAAGGGTAGATGCTGTCTGGCCATCAGGCTCCTGTCCTGGCCAGCGTCCATGGCGGTACACGAAGTAATATTCCTTGCGTGGCTCACTATGGTGTAAGCTGGACTTGACAGCAAGTGGGAACTCCTCAGGGGTCAGGGGCTGGTAGTGGCCATCCACTAACACGCTCAGACAGTAGGAGTCTGGCTCCAGCACTTCAAACTTCTCAGCACACTGCGCCGCTAGGTCTCGAGCAGTGGTGTTTGGGCGAACACCCAGAGTCTTAGTGTTGGAACCAGCCTCCAGGAAAGAGACGTTGATGAAATCCTGCAAACAGGAGATGGTTTGTGATGAGTCAGAAAAAATTGTTATTTTCCAGAAATAACTAAATAATTTTCTATAGACTTTCCTGCAACAAAACTTGTTTTCTCAAGATAATGACATAACGAAATAATTTGGGATCTTGCAAAACAGGCCTATATCTGTACCTGTAAGCTCCCTCAAATAATATCGTAATCTAAACAAAACACATATTTGTTGTGTGAATAAAATAAGTGAATTCATGGCCTTTTTTATCTGAGTGTTGTGCGAGTAACTATATCTTAGCTTCTAAATGTTTGCTACAATTGCTGTGCAATATGTAGTTTATTATCACGTTGCTGGCACTTACAAAACTGATACTGCAGAAGGCTGTAACATGTAAATGAGCTGTGCGCTCTGAGCATCTTGACCACAGAACCAAAAAACGTGTTTCTGTGGCTGTTTTAATAAATCAAGATATGATCCAACAAAAGTAAATTATTTTGGTCAAAATAATATAGGAAAGTCTAACTGATTCGCCAGTGGATTTTTAATATGTATTGCAAGGCAAAGCACATTTGCAATGTATAGCAATACGATCACTGTACTAGCATGCTGTCCATTTCATACAGCCTCAATATGTACTAACAATAATTAAATATATGCACAAACATGTTTCAGCATAACACAGCTGAAGACTCCTGGTCCCAAAGGAGTATATTCAGATAATGCATTCCTGTATATTGGGACACTAAATGTGCTATCACATCCTACCTGTACAGAGGAGCGTGAGGCACGAGCTTTGTTGAGAGTGCGGCGACGCTCCCACCGATGAATGGAGTCTTGGATTTCCAGACTCAGCTGCCTGGTCATGGCTTGCTTGTCATAGTTTTTAATGTGCTCCAGAGCTCCATATGTCGTGGTGAGATAGTATGAGCCTGTGAACACAAATAATATGGAATTAATTGCATGGTAAAATGCTAAGGGTGCACGATTGGAATTAGTCAGAATTGTAATTGATATTTGCTAATTTTATTTTATATTAAAGTATTGCAATTTAATGAAGCAAATAGTGTGAAACAGCTAAGCATACATTTGCTGCATATCAGTGCTTTTGTAATACTAATGGCAAAAATCTGGAAATGTTTGGAAATAATTCAAGCCTATGTGCTCTTTTGTTAAAGACCAAATAAACAATGTTATTATCTTGTTGCCTGTTGCCTTCAGCAGGTCTAGCTGTAAATAAATCAGAATCTGTCATAAACATTCATGATCTGTAAAATGCATCAGCAATAACCCTAATAATGCTTCATGCTTCAATGCTAAAACCTCCTGTTCAATGAACTGGGCAGAGGTTATTTGAACCATCTCTGGGTTCAAATAAAGTATGTCAAGATAAATGATCACAGATAATTTTATTTTGTAGCTGATAGGGATTATGGAGTTGCCCTCAGGTGAAATAAAACAGCTCAGTCCATTAACGCAGTAGAGTACATAAACCCTTTTTGTGTATGAACCTGTTTGCACCTTGCATTAACACGTGTTTCGTGTCCAGATTGTATCTGGATAAACTTGGGCCTAATTCCATTTTCACTTTTCACTAAAATGCGTCTCCAGTGTGATCAGGTGTGATCTGGTTGTACTCTTCCAGCGTATAAAGTATGTCAGCACATGCGTCGTTTCCATTTTACTTTTCTTTACTCTTTTTCCTATTACGATAGAAGTCCACAAGCTCGGCCTGGACACTTTCATTGGCCTGGAGGGGCAGGAAGGCTCTTGATTTGGGGCTAACTTCAGCCTTGCGTATCCTCCATCTTTAGATCCTTGTTTAGTTCTTCACCTGCTAGTCAGCGCTCGGCAGATGCATTTCTGCTCATGTAATTGAATACGGATAACGAAAATGCATTCTGTGTGCACTTGTGTTAACCGTGTTCGAGATCCGTCTCTGACCACCTCCGAATGTGGTTTAAGTGATCTGATCGTAAATTGAGCACAATGCGTCCCTGGGGTGTTTACACCTGGCTTTTCATGCGGTCAAGTGAAATCCGAACATGATCTGATCACCAAAAACACGTTAATGCAAGGTGTAAACATGCCCTATGACTGTGCATGTATGTCTCCTCACCCTCTCCTAGCTGTAGTGCAGGGTCCATCAGTTCCATCATGTACTCCACATCCAGCAATAGTGCAGTCATGTTGCAGCGAGCCAGTACGTACATCAGCACAGGCAGGAAGTCATCTGCACCATGGGCTTTCCCTACACAACCAAACATATCATATAACCTCATATTTATTTATACACACAGTTTAAAGGATAGACAACAGACACAGCAGACAGCACTTCACAGTTATATGACTTTGGCCAGAAAGCCCTGAAAGAGACTGAAACCAACCCTCCAACAATAGACAATGTTACACAGCAACAGAAGTTTGCTGATGACCAGTGCAAAAGTCTAACTCATTGTCTTAGAACATATTTCAACTCTATACTTCAGGTTAAAGTCTGTTCACTTCAGGAAACTAGCTCTGTTAAGGCCAAAAAAACTGTGTATTATAAGGTATTGACTTTTCAACTGACTTTGAAGCTAATTTTGGGGTAAAGAATTAAAGCTGAGCAGTGTAACAGCAGTTGAACTATCTCTCTCTTTTCTGATTATGTATGCACTGGATGATGATGTAAACATAGACAAATGATTGTCATCTGCAGAATTATCGTGCTCAACAATATCATCATGATCCAAATTCAGTTATGAAGTACCACATGTAAACATGACAGAGCCTTACCCTCTAGCTTGCAGTTTCCCTGATAATAATATTATAACCATATAGTGACCAACTTGGCTAGCTTTTAATATTACTTGATAATTTATAACCATACCCGGTGGATCTATGCATTTGATTGGTTGTAAATGAAAATACCACCAAACTGGCACCTTAGCACCCTCTTTCTGGACAATTGTGTCCATTTTACTTTGTACTGGAGAGTAGATCTCATGTCCTAGAGTTGTTTTGTTTCATTTTGTATGTACCCCAGCAATCTTTGCCAGACTGAAAATCTATGTTAGAATTTTCCATGTAGCATTCAAAGTATGCATGTGTGTAGTTAATTAGTTGGTAATGTTCTGTTTGCATAGCCTATCATTAACTGCAGCCTTTTCTATTGTATACATTTTCAACGAAGCATAGATTAGAATGAGCTACAGTGAGCTACTGCTTAAGCTGCCATTATTGTTTTTTCTGGTTTCCTACAAAAGAGATTTGTGAGTGTGAAGAACCTTTTAAAGCAGAGTCTGATTTATACATAATGTTAGTATTCTATATCAATTCAAGAGTTCTTTCCAGAATGTTTACAATATGTGGATATTCTTTAAATTAAAAAAAGGTCAGTGCACTGCATGTGTGCATCAATAAAGAACAGATTTAGACAAATTATAGAGGGTCTATAAACAACTAGTGTGTAGTAATTGCATAAACTACATGGTAACAAGTAGCTGACTAGATGTCATCTTATTTTGTCATTACATCTTATTTTATTAATTTTACATTTTTATTTGTCCTTCAGTTTTTTATTAAATAGAAAGTGAATCATTGCATTCACAGCATTCATTTTTATATGTGGTACTTTTTACTGGTCCATTTTGTCCATTCCAACTTGTTAATAAAATTTAGAAAAAACAAATATCGTAATACATATTGTGTATCGCAAAAATATTAAGTATTGTAGTGTTATAGTTTTGGCATATTGCACACCTTCAGATCACATATTTAGGTCATAGGTGAGTGACAATTTCTCTTACCTGGGCAGCCTACAGACATGGACTCATAGATGATCTTGCAGGTTTTGAGGAGCAGGTCTATCTTCTTCTGAGGTGAATATTCCTGATGCAAGTTCCCCAGCTTCACCTGGATCTTTTCCATGACAGGTGTATCAGGAACACCAGTGGTTACTCCCAAATCTGTGGTTGTGGTGCCCAAGACTATCTGCTGGTTCTCTTTTAGCCTTTTAAGAGTGCCTGCACGGGAGTGGATGTCTTTTAGCCCATTATATATGGCCTCCCTCAAAGGCTTCAGAACACTCTTGCACAGTGCTGCCTCAATGATGACCTCTGAAGAGGAGGTGAGAGATGTGTTAATTCAAGCAAGCAAATCAAATCACTTGGAGGCAAAATCATCAAACTTTACCCAACCAAAACACTGCCATAAACAAACATTATTTCTTCATATATTACTGTGTAATAATCCAAGCTATGCGGTGGGAAGACTGAAATGCTAATAAGTCATGAGGTAGAGACTTCACAAAACAAAGTGTATCTTCAATTAGTCACCTTCATCTTTCCAAAATGCTCATGTAAATACAGAAGCAGCACTGCAGGCTTTTGTGTATGTCTGTATGTATAGGCCCAGGGTAAGAGAAAATCACACATTCTCCCAAAACACTTCCTTAAGCATGACAGCAGAAGCATTCAAGAACAATCAATATTTCTCTAAGACTTCAATAAGAATCTTTGATCACTTGCCTCAATAGGCTGTTTAAAATAGCTATTATTATGACACTGCACTGCCGAGACAGGTGAGAACAACTCATTTTGCAAAACCCAGATTCTGTAATAACTTTCTGGTAAAGGTGGATAATTAACAGAACTCTGAGCTAATTTTAGCTTTGCAACACGAGAGATTTTCACAAAAAACAAGGGCATTTCAGCATAGACAGATTGAATGTTCATTAGGCATGGAGGGCACTATACAAGTGAGTTCTCTTTGCTCTAACATATTTGATTTAATCAATTAGCAAATTATAAGCAGTTACATTAGCTCAGTCAGATGTTAACTGTGCAAATACCAAACTGTGAATAACTGTTGCTCTTCAGAATGAAAATAATTAGAGCATTACTTTTAGAATATGTTCGCACTAAAAGCCCTTCTGCTCAATTCCAGGTTTTTACTTGATGTTCTGCATTTGTATTTTTAAGTGATCCATGTCTGTCTGGCATTTCAAGATCAACAACATCATGTGCATGACTCACATGTCCACATGTGACACTAGATGATGACAACAGTGATATGTGCATGTGCAATGATGAGTGATGGAAAAAAAACACATGATCTCTGATCTAATTGTTCTTAGTATGGTTATATAGCCACATATCTGATGGGAGACATGAAAGCGGCTCCATTCGAATCTAAAAAGGTCAAATTTGTGTATTCACGCAGCTTTGGAAGAATCAGATCTACGTCAAAAAATATTAATTTATGCCACTGCAACTCTGTAATGGGAAAAATGAGGCACCTAGACCAATCTGACAATCTGAAACACCACATTAATATCGTATCAGTGGTCACCAACCTTGCTCTTGGAGTTTTACCATTCTGAAAAGTTCACTTCCAGCCCTGATTGAACATATTTGATCTAGATAATCAATCCACTTAATTGGTTGGATCAGCTGTGTTACATTTGGGACTCAAGCTAAATTCTGAAAAAAGGTAGATCTGCAGGTGCAGGGTTGATGAGCACTGTTTTAGATTGATGCAAGCTGTTATGGAACAGTGTAGATAAATTACCCAGCTTCTCCTCAGTGTAAACAGCTGACTCCTGCAGATTCTGCAGCTCTGTGCTCTGGATCAGGTAGCTTTTAAGCTGGGTGATCATTTGTCTGATTTCTTGGAGCATCTCAGTACTTGAGGAGTGCCTTCGCATGGTGTCCAGCGTATAGGCCCTATAATCCTGCACCAGGTTCCCAAAGTAGGTGCTCCCATCCCGAGCCAGCTCCACAATTCGTTTTTGCAGCTTGCGGTCAGCACTCATGAAATTTGTAAAGACAGTAGAGAAGTTCACCATGGACAGACGCTGTTTGGCGCGGTCCAGCATGATGGTGGGTGTTCTCTTCACTATAGAGCCCGTTGCTGTAGTGTCCATCTCCTCTTCTGTGCTGCTGGTGGAGTAGGAGTCGTGGTCTGGCTGGGGAGCACCTCCTTCCGGAGAGAACAGCGAGACATCAGGAACTTTGGGGTGACCTGCAGTGACAAAGCGGTGCATGGAAGTAGGAGTGCTTGAGGTTTGTGGAGTGAAGGAGGTGGGTTCTTTGGCGGTTCCCCCATTGGCATCATTGACATCTTGCAAAGCTGAGGTCCCAGCCTGAGAGTGTCTTTTTCTCCTAGGAGGTGGTACTGGAGGACCAGGCCTCCCCACCTCAGCTGCTGACAGTCTAGTCACAGCAGATGATCCATTCGATATCTTGGAGTGATCCACAAGGCCTTCATCCTGCTGTGACTGTGGCTCGGGGGCATCCACTGGCTTCTCACACTGTGCCACGCTGTCGTCGTCCAGGCAGATGAGAGATGCCACGCGAGCTCCAGGAACTTCCCCCTCCATCTCTGTTGGTACAGAGTTGCTGGTACTTGTACTGTTAGTCGGTTCTTGCTGGATTTCGTCTCCTGATGGCTGGTTCTCTGACAACCTGCGTCGGAGTGGTAACGGGGGAATCCTGTGCGAAGGCACACGACTAGCCTGCTTTGTCGCTTGGCTTGGAGGTTGGGCCACGTCTGGCTTGGCTGCCTCCGCTTCAACGCTGGGGGCTGTTCCCTCTCTCTCTGGACATACATGCTGGCTTCCTTCCTCTTTCTGAACCACAGGAGGAGGAGAGCTCAGCGAGATCAGAGAACACTCATCTGACGCAAGATCCTCTCTGGTCGGCTTAGTTGTAGCCTGAGCCAATGCAACTTCCGATATGCTAATGGGACGAGGAGGCAAGGGTGGGGGCCTCTTGTACTTCAGCGGAGCCTGAATGGGCGTGTTGAGGCTCTGGGTTCTGAGGATGGGTGCTGGAGGGCTGGATGGCAAACTGCTGCAATATTCCTCAATGAAGATGGGGTTGACATACCACAGACGATCGCTGCCAGCAGAAAGCTGGATCTCGCAGGAACTGCTGTGGTCCGCTGCATTCTGAGTGCCACCGCTGGCTGCAGATTTACTTAAATTGTCCTGAATGTGACTGTTCAGGGTTGAGCTCCAGAACTCTGGCAACAAACACAAATTAGCTTACAAGGTACATATACAACACATGTTGTAACAAGATCTCAGTGTTGTAACAAAAGCCATGGTAATGCTGCATACTTTATGTACATTAATGTAACAAGATCAACAAGATTTCTATTGGTCCGTTCGTCATAAAATGTTCACACAATGTGAAAAGGACAGCTGATGTTTAAAAAAAACTGCTGGCATGGCATGTGGATCACGGCCAGCAGTTTTGGAAACTGTTTCTGTTCCACAAAATCTAGATTGTTGCATTTATTTAGTGCATGTATTTGTGATTGCATGTTTTGAGAGTAGGACAGAAAATGTGACTATCTGAGGCGGAAGCCACTGACTCACTACGTCCACACATTTCTTAGCAATTGCACAATTTAAAAAGCTATCACAGTTTCACAGAAAACCAGAAACAGGAACACATGCTTGAATTAGAGTGTAAGGTAAATGGCATTCCCCATGGATTAATAGTTATTAAAAACAAGTGTTTTCAATACTTATTGTATGGGAAGGAAAATGTCCCCAGGGCTTTGAAGTACCAAATGTACCAAGTGAAGCTTGTATACCATGTATTACCTAAGCCAAGGGTGGAAATCACCTCCATGTCTTCATATTTACTTGCTCGGACAATGGCTTGAGGTAACTTAAGCGGGAAGGGGAGGATGTCCCTGAATAAAGATGAAAACACTGCTTTTAAAATGTGCTCGGTTTTCTAGCCATTCACTAAACACATTGGTCTCAAAGCTTCAAAAACTTACCGGCTAACGCAATAGAATGCAATGAGTTTGAAGATGTTGTCAAAGACCAGGACAGAACCCTCAAGATAAAGCACTATGGAAGAAAAGGTGGGTGACAAAACTATTGTTGGTTATAAGTGTATAGGATTCCTCATGTTCATATAACAGCTACACCATTTTAAGCAACATTAACATGAGCTTACCAAGACTTCTTGAGAATGACTGTCAATATAAATGTAGCATCCACACAAATACAAAAAGGCATATAAAGAATGTGTGGCTGAATCAATACAGTGACAAAGTTTATGTGTCTATATTATGCTGACCTTCGATCAGACTTCAGATATTGACCATATTTAGAATACCGTGACCAAGAAAAACCCCTGACTTTGTCACACACACACACAGACACAGACAAACACCGAAACAAGCGGGAGGAGGGGGGCAGGAAGTCCGTCACTTCTGACAGCAGTTCAGGTCTGAGAACAGGAAACTTATGGTCAGCTCCCCTCCTCCACAGACCACCGCTAGCCTATGCAGCACCTACCCTGTATGAGTGTGTGTGTGCGCGTGTGTGCATATGTTTCTAAATATTGAATTTGTACTCTTGTAATAGTTTTCCTAATTACATAGCTGAACTCACAGGCTTTTTCTTCTTTTACATGAAACTCTTGGACCCGGGGCTCCCCCTGCTGGTCCTGGAGACGCACTGACACAATCATCAACTTCTGGCCGGTGTTCCTCCTCACTAAAAAAATCTGTGTAAACAGAGATTTCTCTTGCTGTATTAAATGCAGTCATATGCCATGATCAAATTACATGTTTTGCGAAAATAACTGAACATGTAAATTTTTCCAGCAAAATTTAGTGCACAATTTCTAAATATTTGCTGGGTTTAGCATAGAAATAAAACATAAAATGTGACATAACATATTTGACGTTTTTTTTTTTTGTTCAATATTATATTCAACAAACAAACAATAATTGTGCATTAAAATATGCAGAATTGTGTTCTCTGTAGAGGATGTGTACCTATTTTCAAGATAATCAACACAATGTAATTTGATCAGGGGCACTAAACTTTTGCATATGACTGTAAACAGTCACATGAAAAGTTAGAGGTTGTCAGTATAAGAATATGTTATTCTTATCATGATCAATTACTTCACAGTATACTTTTCTGACTATATCATGGGTATCTACACTGTAGAAAGTGGCTCGTCAGATCTCCCTAAAAAAATTACTTCATGTGCTAACAAGCAATTGAACTAGTTTTATGTAACTTAAAAAACTGCATTGATTGAAAGAATTGTTCATTCAAAGTATTTATTTAGGTTGAATATAACATGTAATAGTTAATTTACGTGTTACCACATGAGGTTATTTTTTTTAGGTAGATTTGGCGAGCCACTTTTTACAGTGTACATCTAGAACTATGAACAATTGCAATTTTCATAGAAAAGGCTAGACTTAGACAAGTCTGGCCAAAAACGTCATAAATTACATCACAGCATGCTTTTCTAATCATATTGTGGGTATCGTCAGTATGATTGCTGCAATAAAAGGGAAAATAGGCATATAGTGAAATTTGCAGATGACACTGTTGTTGAACGTTTCCTGTATGAGGAAGATACAGGTTACTCTCCTGTGGTGGAAAATGTGGTTAAATGGTGCGATAAAGGCATTTTACATATTAACGTATCAAAATACCAAAGACATGCTCATTGATTTTAGATGAAAATCAGATCTGTGATAAAAACTTTTTAAAGGCAGGAAGGTGAAGAGTGTCAATAAATGTAAGTACATCATTGTACAATGTACTGTCACTTGAAGCTCATATTGAGTCTTTGTGCAAAAGGGCCAACAGCGTTTGTTTCGTTTTGAGGAAGCTTAGGTTTTTTAACACTAAAAGAACTTTGGATAGGTTTATAAGTCTTTTTTTTGAGTCTGTCCTATGTTTTTCAATGATCTACTGGTTTTATAATGAATATATGAACAAAATATATCAAAAGTCTTAACAGAATTACTTATGAAGCTAGCAATACCATAGGTAAGTGGTAGAAGAGTTTGTTTGAACCTTGAGACAGACAAGCTATGTGTAAACGCTGCTCTTTTGGATCGTCTATCCACTACACTCTGATTTTCTTATTCTCCCATCTGGAACTCACTATCAAATCAAACAATACAAACATTCTTTTATACCATCAGCTATAAGATTACTTAATGCATAATGGGTTTATGTATGGGGGCTGTATTGTATTGTCTAATTGAAGGGTTTCATTCCAAAATGCTGTACATTTTAAATATAGTGAGTTTTGAAGAGAATAGCTGATTAGAATTAGCTGATGCTAATGGAAAACAGAATTTTATTTCTCTAATAAAGGCAGTATTAATCATATTATAGCATTGATATTTCTTGTATATCTAAAGCTTGCTCCCAAAAATGTATATCAAAAAAATTTTTGATAGGTTCTTTTTTTGCCAAACCATGGATAAACTATATTTTGTAATGTGTATCATGTACAGAGAAAATACTTTGAAGTACCGTCACTTTTTCCCCATCACTAACCCCTAATTTAGACCAATTATATAGAGTCTGTATAAAAACAACAGCCAATGCATTAAACTAGTAACAGGTAGCTGACTGGATGTCAGCCTATTGTACTATAATCTTTATGTGGTAATTTATATTCTATTAAATGGTTTATTATTTCTTTTTTTTTTTCCAAAATGTTGAATTAAAAAATTAGTAGAACTTTTTCATAGGCTTTTTAAGAGGCACTCCTATGCTGCTGGTATATTTTGCCTGCAAACCATCATAAAAAACTAAATATTGTGACACACATTGTGTATCATGAAAAGGCCTTGAAGTTTTATGATATTTGTGACATATTGCCCACCCTTATAAACAGTGTAGATTGTTTATAGTCTCACCCCGGGTGACTCCTTGTTGAGTATACGAAAAGCTCTTTCTTGCGTCATTCCCAGCTGCAGCCACACTGGACAAGTCTTGATCAGCTTGTCCAGGATGCTTATACTAGGAGGGGTTGGTTTCTGGGGCTGCTCAGCTGGAGTTGGCGCTGGTGTGACAGGGGATTTTAAGACGAGTGGCGGTGGAGGTCTGGCTAGAGGTGGGGAGGAAGGCTTGGAACTTGGACGTGGAGGGGGTCTGGGCATGGCTGCGGAGGAGACTTTGGGGATGGCCGATGGCTGTTGTGCAGGGAGAGGTGGGCAGATGGGCTTGGGCACTTGTGGAGACATAGGTTTCTGGGCAGAAGGGCTAGAGATTTTGTGATTCAGAGGTGAGGAAGAAGTTGGAGATGGAGAGATGGTTTTCCAGTTGGAGAAAGGAGGTGAGAGAGGTAGTGGAGGGGAGGTGGACTTGAAGGCGGAGTTGTCAACCGAAATGTCAATCAGTGGTGGCGGTGATGTAGAGGTTGGTGTGGGAGAGCATTTGGATAGCAAAGGAGAAGGGGAGCTGGGGGAGGTGGGTTTTTGGAGGACAGGAGGTGCTGTGGCAGGAGCTGAGGAGAGCATGATGCATAATGATGGATAAGGAGAAAAGTACTTTGCAGATTTAGAGCAGCCTACAAATCACCCTGTACAGAGAGGCAAAAGAACAATACAAATATTTGTTTAAAATCAAAGTGAAAAAGCAACACTTCAGTTCTGCTGTAAGCAGTGAGGTGATCGCAAAGATCTTATGTAGAGAATCAAGAAATACAAACATAGCCATTGGCATTTACATGTTTATGGAAAGTAAAGCCAATGGAAGTTCATTTCCTGGCTAAAGAATGTGCTTGTACTATGTCATTTTGAAAGACACTCTCAAAAATAAAGGTTCCTAAGTGGTTCTTGGCTTGGACATACTTTAGAAACTTTACATTATATGGAGGTTTCTTGAACTTAAAAAAGTCATTCACACTTACATATCTAATTCTTTAACGAATCATCAGGAAGTTCCTTAGGAAACCAGTGACATTTCTTTGGTGGCATGGCTCCAAAGAGCCCTGTTTGGCGTCTTTATTTTTGAGAGTGTTGCAAGCCACTATTGTATAAAATGGTAGGTCCTTATTATATTCTATCCTTACTACATCTTGATGCTGTTTACTAACTTGACCTCAAGGCTAAATTTCGACTTTCTCCTTTTCTTAGCAAGAAGCACCTTTTCTTCCCCTTGTCCTAGTATACAAATATGTCTCCCAAGGATACAATGTCAACTCTGTTTGTTCAACTTACTGTTCTTTTTGTTCCTTTTTGATACACATTTTGCAAGTAAATAAAAGTACATAAATAATGTTAATACCTAATCATCTTTGGATAGAAAAGATGTAGAAATATAGGAGACAATGTAATGTCTACTGCCGTTAGTGAAAGTAGACAGTTATAGTTGCAGACTAAAGCAGTCCTTTACAAAAGAAAATGTATCTGAGCGTGATTCTGCTTGGCAACTCACCCACTAGATGTTCCACAGTCTTGGGTTACAACAGCTGTTTTCTTCATTGTTTGCCTTTCACACACCAAACTTTTTCTCTCAGCCCCTGCTTTTTCGTGTCTCACTTAATCCCTCACGTACAAAGCCTGTCCATTGCATGTACAATCATCCATCTCCTTCCTTCTGCTCCTTCTGTTTTCCCTTTTAATGAAACTGATATTTCTCTTTTCTACCCAAACAGCGGTGAGGATATGAAAATGTCCAGAAACAACAGAGTTGTCTCTTTCTTGCTTGTCCTTCTCTCTACCTCGACTTCCTGTCTGTCTGCGAACAGCGGTGTTGTCAGGAAGGGGCTGTCCAGGGTGGTCAGCCAAACTCTAACATACACATAGACAAAGTCAGACTCTCAAACATGGACAAATACACTTAAAACTTCAGAACTTGCCAAGAAAACCTAACTCGCTTTCTCTCCAGTCTTTCTCTCTTTCCTCAAGAACAATAAACCTCAGCTCCAGATGTGCCAAACTCGCCAAAAGAATGTAAGTATGTAAAGCAGTCAAGAGCATTTGTGAGCAGTGGATCCCCCACCCCCTACTCCGTCCTAAGCAGCTCCAGATGCCGAGGGGACCCTGAAAAATCTCCTCAAAAAATGCAATGCAGCATGTAGTTTCTCTCACTGCTGGGTCCCAGACCCCACCCCAGCCCATCCCTTTCTGCTCCAGCTCATCGCATTCATAATATTTACAAAGCAAGTCTGCACACGATCATCTTAGCTCTGTACATGGCTGTGGTATTTGTACTAGGAGGTGACGACTCTTTTGCATAGCCTATTACAAAGGCCTACAGCATGTATATTCTTTTAGAACATTTATTTTCACATTTGAAACAAAGCAATAAAAATTTTACTGTGCTTACTTGTAATACAATTCAACTTACTACGCATGTCTTATGTCATTACCCTTTGGGGCAAATTAGTTATTACTTCATTATAGTGCTCATCTTGATTGTAGAATATGTATTAGGAGCATACAAGTTTGCATGGCTTTACAGGGGCTCTTTTTATGCTCTAAAGACAGCAACTGTGCCTTACCCACAGATGTTTCCTGTTAGTGAGGTGTGACTTCCACACTCCACTGAGTGTGAGGAGAGAGCGAGGAAGAAAAGTGTGTTTTAAAAACAGCTGCTTTCACAAAAAACACCCAAAATGCATCAGTGAGTTACCACTGCAACTTTAGAACACCAAGTTATGACGGTGTACTTTGATTATTTCTGTTATTTATGGGCCAGCAAAATGAGGTGAGAGGCTAAATTCATCGAGCAAAAGACCCAAAAACCACCTTGTGTTGCTTAACTTCTTTGGAAGTGTAGAAGGAAGTCGATATGTGGTCAAAGCATTGCTGTGAGAGCCCAGTGATGACTATCATGGAATCTGAGAGGAAGGAAGGAGTGGGGAGGGGGGCGGGGGTTTGAGTCAGTCTTCTCATCCAGGATGGTCATGTCATACTTTCCGACCCCGCCCCCCCCCAATGCTGCCAGGTCAGCGGCAACTCTTCCTTAAATCACTGCCGCTTTCCCAACCAATGGAATTCTACACTCTACGATTTGCCTGTTTCCATTGGACAAAAGGACACATGGAAACAAAAACTTCTCCAATTGGATCGGATTGGAATGTGGAAGACTAGACGCATTTTTCAAAGTACCAAATTTTTTACCATTTGTTTCAAGTAGATAGCCTTCCTTTATAAGTGGAACAGCTCTTTGTATAAATACATTTTTAAAAGTTTTTTTTTTTAATTTCATGATGTAAACAGGCAGCGCTTGTAGAGCTTGTTAATCTAGCACATGTGTGTCTGAGAGCAGATCCACTCTATTAATGACGTCTGTGTCAGATAATAGAAGCTGAATATAAGATGAATATTTTGTATCTACTTCTGAGACCAAAGGCACCAGCAAAAGGTATGAAAACATATGAATTGGCTAAAATGGGGCTGATTTACATAAAGCCTAAACTATAAATTGTAGTAGTGAAACACCCGCTATATTCATTATCCATTTGGGCTATTTATTTTCTAGCTTGCAATATTCATATCCAGGAGTATGTTATTGCGATTAACATCACAACTTTGATTTGGCCAGAAGCACAAGCTGAAGGTGTGTGCGGTAGATCACCATTATTTGCAATAACACATTTTAGCTGCAAGTCAAATATTATCTTACATTATGTAATGCAACCATTTTCTGTTTTTGTATGTGCTAAACTAGAAACTAGTCCTCTCATTCAGGTAACCGTGTGTAAAGTAACTGTGACAAAACTATTAAACCGGCCTTTGGTGGGGGAGGTGAGTGATGCTGTAGCATCTTAAACTCAACAGTAAACTTTAATTTTAACCAAAAAATTAAAAAAAATATAAATATTTCAATCAAACATGAAATTTCCTGGAAGAAAATTTAGCACGGGTAACTGTGAGAGATGATTACAAGAAGGTTGGCTTGAAAAATGGCAATGTTGCATTATGTTGCAGAAACAGACTGTGTTTTTTACTTTATCTGCAAAGCAAAGAAAACCAAGCAGTGGTGAAGGGATTAATGCACCTCCAGAGTGACAGTTTGCTCAGGGAGGCTTTTGTAACTGAAAAAAGCAAGAGAAATGTTTGTTCAACCAGAGTTAACAAACCTGCATTCCGATTGAATGCATGCATTAGCTACGCTGAAAGCAACTCCGGTCAGTGCAATGCTCTCTGCTTTAGCAGCTCAGGATGATAATACTGCCAGGACTATGTTGGAACATTTATTTAGATTCACAACATGCCTGGGGCGAGAGGGGGTGCCACTCAAAGGGCACAGCCATCGAGAAGGCGTCCTTTGGCAGTTTAAGCTGGAGAGGACACACTCACTCCCGAAAGCTAGAGAATGGCTTTTACGCAGAGACAATTGTATGTCGGATACAATCCATAACGAAAAAACAAAATCCTTGAAATGTTTGCTCAAACCATACATACAGAAATCATCTCTAAAATGCCATTTGCATTCATTAGAACTATGTCATGCCTTGTTTTTGTGTTATGGCAGGCAGCCTAGTGAGGCGGAAGTGATGTGCGATGCGCTGTACAGTAGAGGAAAAAATACGCAGCTTTTTGTACAGGCATGACATCTGTCTGCTGCACCAAGCGCAGCTGGTTTCTGGAACAATCTTATCCATGCTAGGCACGCCAGTCTACAACAAATGTTATATTAAAGAGGGAAATCACATCACCCAGCATGATAAGAACTTAAGTTATATTTTTTGTGGGAATACTAGTGTCTTACTCTGATTTGCATGAAGTAAAACAAATTAAATAGATGAATGACGGCAGTAACTAAGTATTTACAGAGACTGGGATTGCTATTGTGATAACTGTCACTGGGCACATGCCTAGCTGTAGTGTAAAGCTAGCTAATCCTTTGCAACTTGCGCTCAGGATAATGATATGGTTAGTTGTGCTGCGATCAGACGGCAAAGCACATTCTGCCCAAAACGCCATTATCGGCTATACGGCTGGACACGGATTCCGCAGGCCCCGCTCATTCTGCCGCCAAATGCGTCATGTGTCACTTTTCACTATGTAACCAATCAAAAAAGAGCGTGGGTAAAATTTAAGTGGAGAGCGAATGGCAAGTCTTGCTGCAGGTTGGACAAACTCAAAATTGGAGGGACTAAAGTCCAAACAGATTGTTTTTAACTCCAAATGGCGTCGCGTTCCATTAGATGCTTTGTTACTGACTAATAAAAATGTATTCAAACAGATTTAACTGTAGCAGATTCAGCACGCTTGACGTTTTCTGCTTGATTTACTAAAGACTCTAACCACTACCTCAACTTATAAATTTAAAACTTAAAACAAGACACATCAGATATTTTCTATATTTAATGAGTCATGTAACCAACAAAATTAAAGTGAAAAACACATCTGAGTAAGAGGGTGGCACGATTAAGCCATTTCTCAATAAATAAATATATGAAAAGTGTTATGATCTGATGGGTTTTTGTAATCATGCACACAAACTGAATTAAATTAATATTGAGAATTGTTGTGTGATGATTCATAATTAATTAATTTAAATTTGTTTGTTGCTGATGAATACATGTGATGAATAGAAGCAAATATCTGCATCACTGAGATTCCTCAGCCTGAAAGTCACAGAGCTCAGACTGCAATCTACAAATAATTCTGTACATTCAAATTTATCTGAAACAAAATGAATCTGCACAGATCGCCTTTAGATTCTGTTGTTATAAAAGTTCACCTCTAAGAGCAAAACGCTGTAAAAAGATAATTTCAGTTTGATCTGTGATCTGTCTATGCATTGACTGCATGCAAGATGAAAAATGAACACAACTTTCAATTTTATTAGCAGGAAAATTTCGTTTAAAAACCAGTCAGCAGAAGGACAGAGCCAAGTGTCACTGGACTGAGTGGATCGTTACGGGCGGGAAGTTCAATGCCACATCACATCACTATATGGAAACTAACACTTATTGTGCTTTTTTAGAGGAGAAGCACAGGGAGAAAACTGTCCACCAGGTTTAATTCTTCCTAATCAGTCCATGTAAACATAAGCAACATGAGCAAGTACCCTGAACACCACAACTAAGAAACATCTACATTAAAGTCACAACTATGGTAGTGAAGCATACTTATGATTGATTTTCAAGGTTTTTTTGCAAACCATGAACAGTGAATTAATATTTATCTTTGAGTGGATTCTTTTTTAAGCCCACATTTTAGCAAACCTGCCCTGCTGTACAGCTCCGCATTCACTCTCTGGTTCAATTTTACCCACCCTCTTTTTTTGATTGGTTACCTTGTGAAAAGTGACACATGATGAGCGGAGCTTTTAGGCTGAAGGTGAACAATCATTATCATTTAATTTTTTTATCATTTAAGTTCTGTTCATGCTGTAGTTGTTGAAAAAGTGAAGTGCTGCTGTGAAATATAATGTGGTAGTTCTCTTGTTAAGCTGTTAAGCACACATCAACGTTTAAGTGCAGCCAGCAGCTAGCTAGACAGCTCATTTCACTGTTTCATTGCTGTAGCTGGGAAAGGGCCTTCAAATGTGATACTAAAGCTCGTGAGCTATTAACAGGTGTTATTTTTTAGCCTTCCCATCCAACATTATGACCAGCTGTGACTCATTTACCTATTGACTACAGTTTATCGCTCAGTCTTCTCTTCTCTGTTGTTTTTAAACTATGGAGTATGAAACAATTAACCTGCATTTCAAATGTACAAAAGGTGGAAAGAAAACTATGCTTATAAACTGGATATCAAAAAAAATAATTTGCATTACGCACTACCAAAAAGTGTTCTGGTTCACATATCAATGGAAATCTGCATACCTTAAAAACACAACCTCCCAGCTTGATTTAATCTGGACACCTCTTATTAACCATTATTATTATTATTATTATTATTATTCACTCCATGCACTGACACGTAAACATTTAAAGTAAACCAGATTACAATGCTGTTTTCCCCAAGATTTATTTCCTCATATAAATGTGGTTCAAATTCAAATTGAAAACACTACACTTGAGTGAACAGACTCCCCAGAAAACTATCAGGTAGATAATCTGAGAATTTTAGAGCCCTTGTACACATAGCCTAATTGGCATTCCACCCTACTACACAACTGAAAAACACAGCCAGGACTAACAGTGCTCTCTGCTGGTAAAATCTGAACAGTTCAAAATAGCCCTAAAATCAAGAAAAAGCATATCAGTGTAAAGCAATTAAATTGGCTTTATTAGAAATAAAATAGATATTTAACAGTCACATTCCTGCATACTAGAGCTATTGATTTTATGGTGAAAATACCATAAAATATCTGTTTAACCCAATATTACAAGTGCACACATTCAGTCCATATCATACTCATCTACTCATCAGCACTCAGCTTATTCTTTGCAACCAGCCCAGGGAGGGGATGAGAAAAACAACCATTTTAAACATGACTTTATTATTCAAAACGGTATTCACAAATAATAGTTCATTACCCTTTTATAATTAAATATGAATACAATAGTGAACAGGTAAAGACAACACAAAAAAGAAACAAACAATTATATTATAAACCAGTCTAGAAAGAGTAAGAATAAACTCAGGTCTCAGGGTACGAGGGGGGCAATACCCAAAGACGTGGAAATATTATTCACACGTCTCTGGTGCCTTTTACGCAAGGGAGAGAAACTAAGAGAAGAGGAAAAGGAGCTATTAAAATAGCATCCCTCTGAGTGTACATTACAGACAGACAGGACGGCAGTGACCAGAGCCTCTTGTACTACTACACTCTGTGTGTCCAGCATCCATTTATCACATATAGAGGCAAATGCCTGATTGTACAAGAGGCAGTGTGTTTGTGTGACCATTTCTATTTACAAAATAGTATCTAAGCTATTAAAAAGGCACAGGTGGCACTGGAAGAACATGATCACTAAAGCTTAATTACTTTGCCCTTTATAAAAATGTGTAAGTATGTGTGTGTGTGTGTGTGTGTGAGTGTGTGAGAGAGAGAGAGAGAGAGAGAGAGAGAGAGAGAGAGAGAGAGAGAGAGAGATAAGGCTGTGACAAATTCTTCGTTCACACCTGCAAAGTCACTTCAGAAGTTTGTTGGCTCGCTGGTTGGCTTCATCAATGCGTGCTTTATTCATGTCAGCCTGTGCAAAAACAGACAGAATATGTTTCAGTTAAACACTGGATAGCAATGTATCCTTTTTATTCTAATAAGCTAACCTTGTGAAATCAGATTTGTGGCATAGTCACAACAAAAAAATACAAATAATTTTATTTTCCACTACCAGTTTTGTTCAGCGTAATTTGATACAGAACAGTACACCCATGTAGAAGGGTTAGTATGCTTCTCCTCTCTCTGACAGATATGTGCCCTGAAACTTTATTTAACAGTTTTTCAGATGATATAACACCTAGGACCAGTTTCCCACACAACCCAGTTCTGGACTGAACAAGGTTTTGAATGGAGATTATTGAACCCAAGCCCTTCTTGCTGTGAGGCGACAGTGCTTCCCACTGTGCCACCATGCTGCCTGGAGATTATCCTAAAACGAAAATATAGTCCAGGACTAGGCTCAATCACAGTCCAGGAAACCAGTTCCTACTATTGGGCAGAACAAAATAAGAATCCTTTAGTTCTCCACCAGTCTTATGGGGCTGGCACTGCCCTAAAGGGCCCATATCCTATATTCTTCTGGCATGATATATTTTTGTCCTGAGGTCCACTTATAAATTTGTGTGGTTTTATGAATGAAAAACAGTCATAAATTGTTTTTACATGACCATTTTCCAACCTCTCCCTATTACTGTTCCATTAAGACGGATATGTATATGACCTCTGTTCCTACTGGCTGCCCTGTACTGTGCCTCGTTCAAAAAATGGGGGCAGGATAAAAGACTTCTTATAACTTCATCCTGAATAGGTGGGGCTAAACTGCTACAGGCTGAATATGCAGATATATGTAAATGTACTGTTTTTTGTGACATCACAACAATGAATTCAAAATGGGCAGTTTTTGCAGCCACGTTTCCATATATGGATTGTGTGGAATAAGGAGTATAGAGAAAATTACGAAACTTAAACAGTGTCTAAATATTATTTTAAACTTGTATTTAAAAAGCACAAAAAGCTAAGCGTAACGAATGTTGTAATGATCCCTTAAAGAAATAGCATTTTTCACTACAAGCGTACTGTAAGTCAACAGGTGCTGGGAAATGTATCAAAATTGTTTTCTATGGCAAGTGACTGCATGGTACGTACAGAGCAGACAGATTAGTGTTCCTTTAATAAATGTAAATTGTGTGTGGGGTGGCCTTACTTTGTCTGTAATGCGGTCAATGGTTTTGTTCTGCTTGTCAATCTCGTTGCCCATATCCAGAGCCATGTTCTTCAGATTCCCGATGATGCTGCCCACCTGGTCTAGGTTCTCCTCCATCTCCACCTCCCGATCATCATTTGTTATCCTGAAAAAATGAAATAAAAAGCCCTAATATAACCAGGTAAATAAAATCAAAACAAAAATCAAATAAAACAATATTACTACACAACCAAAAGGAGGGAACATTTCAAACATTTGAGAAAAGGTTGTTGTCAAGATATTCTGCCCTGTAGGCAGTAAAGGTAATCCCAAGTTAATCATAAATCTAAAACACTGGTAGGAGTTTTTGACAGAACCTGTGCTTTTTGAGGACATCAGCAGAAGTAGCAAGCCTTGCTGTTCATAGTAAGCTATGATAACTTTCCTATAATAGTTAAAAGTTAAAGTAACTTTTTAATAGCAAGCTTAACTTGCTATTTAACTAGTTAGAATCACGGCTAAAAAGGGTAATGGAAGTTTGAGACATCGTATCAGGCTACTCATAGCATACTGGTAAAGACGCATGCCAAATGGGGCACAGAAAAACCTTATCTCTGCCTTTGAATGACAGATGACTGAGAATAACCAAGACAGGAAGTATGACAAAGGCAGACTTCTTTTTGTCAGCAAAGAAAGTGGAATAACATATTTCAAAATACTTCTTGCACAAATGGTCTGACTAGAACTCATACACTGCTTATTCTGAACACAAGAGTCGGTAATGTCCTTCTTAGTCACAACATTCCACTGAGAAGGTGATGAGCTCTTTTCAACTGAACAGTATAGTCAGACATCAGCAGGGAAAACAAGACTGAAAATCGTTTCAGCAAATTTAACAGAGCATCTAACTAACTAAGTTATTTTGTACATGCCCTGCACTTTAGTTTAGCTAACCAGCTTTTATTAGTCATACGAAATCAAATTGGCATTGCCTCTTGATGTAGGGACCAGAGGATGACGACACAGGAGCAGCCTGGCCATTGCGGATGCTGCTTGGTTGGCTGGACACCACACCTCCCTCTCCTCCCTCTGTGCTCGCGTTGTCACTTCCAGTGCCCCAAGTCCGCTTATACCGCCCATCATGCTCAATGGACTTCACCCTGAAAGGCATTCAACAGTAAAGTTAACTCAGAAGCAACCGTGCTTCATTTTGTATAGCAAGACATAATATGCACTGCTTAACTTTGAAATATAGATTCCTAACTCTACTAAAGGTCCACTTTGAAGGTAGAATGTAATGCACTTCTGCAAATGCAAATGTGTTTGTAAAATGAATAGTTATGGTTCTAAAATCTGATTTGTTGAGCCACATTTGAAATAAAGAGATGGATAAACACAAATGACTAGGCCAAAGAGATATCTAAAAACTATAAACACAATGTTTTATTGTTAAAAAAAAAATGCATTAGTGACACATTGCCCACAAAACCACCACTAAAACACACATGGGCTGCTGTAGTTTAGACCTACTATCTATTTTTTTTTTTAGCTTATATGCTTATATGATTTAATGAAAATCGTACAACTATATTGTATAACTACCAAGTTACCAAGTAACTCACAGTAATATTTTTTAATAAACTATTTTAGCTCTTGCTTTGAAAGTTGTTAGTGCAAACATGCGCAAGGAACTTCGGATTACCACAAGTAAAAGAGTAAAAGAGCGAGTTCCAAGTGAGTTTATCACCTTTGAAGCATCATCATCAGTCATCGTCAACATCTGACTACATCGCCCCATTCCCAAGCATACATATACTCTGACACATCAATTGATTTCTGTTTATAGAATAACCTCTCATGCTGCTTGGCATCTGTTGTCTATTACTAATGAACAAGGTTGTAGTTTATGGTACTGTATTTTGTTTGGTCATGGTTTACTACAGTTCAGGGGGTTTTAGGCACTCTGCTTTGCATCAAACGTAACACCACCCCCCCTTAATGGTGACACCATACATGTAACGCATAGCTTCTCATAGCTTACTGCCTTAACAAGTGACAAAGTTCTTACCTATCACAGGGACAGACACATAGGCCACAGCACTTGGACAGATCAGTCAAGTTTTTCTCAGCCTGTTTCATGTCCTCATTGATTTGGTCCATGCCCTGCTCCACACGCCGCAGTTGTTCTGAGTAAATGACATGATGAACAGAACAAGCGTAAATAAGTGTGAAACACTCTCTATGCACCTAGTAAAAATATTTCATACTAAGGCTTTAGAGTATGTGAAAGATCTGTTGAAGGAGATATGGTGAATTAAAGCTGAATGAATAGCTGGACTTACCTCCCTGCTCTTCCAGCATCGTCATGGTTTTAACTCCTGTCTCCTTACTCTGAAAATACAGATTTTTGAAAAATGTGTGAAAGGATGACTTGGCTTTATTTGATCTTATTAACAATTCATGTTAATGGAAAACCAATATATAGAAATACAGTGATAAAGGTACTCAATTTTGGTTCATAAGAGTGTTCCAATGAATGGCTGGACTTGTGTACAAAATATAAAAGCTCTCACCTCTTCTGCCAGCTGCAGCATTCGCCTGGTGCTCTCCAGCGACTAGAAGAAAAATAAAACCATTTTTCTCAGGAATCATTAGTGTCAGTGTGCTATCAATTCTACTGAGGAGATCTTTAGGCAACATATAAAAAACATATACAGGCTTATGTTGATGAGATGTGCAAAACAAAGAGCTCTGGAGGCTGGTGTGGCGGCATTATTGTTTTAAAAAGCTAAAAATGTACAGGTGTGTCGGCACATTGATGTAATAGTCCACCATTGGTACTGAGCTTGGCAGGAAGCTAACTAGCTTAAAAAAAACAAAACAGCAGAAGCAAAATTGAATCTGTTTATTGTCACTGCCCAAGAAAAACCTACAGAGGAGGGCAAAAACATTCTTTACTTCCAGTGTAAGTTAAAGTAATTTTAGAACATTTCTGTTGGTCCAATCATCATGAAATTTTCAATGTAAAGGACAGCTGTTGTGCTTAAATGATGCAGCAGAGTAAAAATGAAAAGAAAATGGATAAGCTCCCGAGTGGCGCAACCGTCTAAGCGTTGGCCCTATCATCAGGAGATCGCGAGTTCGATCCCTGGTGATGCTACAGCCATCCGTAGCCGGGAGTCCGAGAGAGCACAATTGGCCTCGCTCTCTCTGGGTGGGTAGGATGGCCCCTCCTTCTCCCCCCATCACTCAGCGCAATGCTAGTCAGCGCAGGCGTCTGTTAGCTGACGTAACAGATCTGGTGGTTGTCGCTTTCCTCTGGCTCGAAAAGAAGCGGTGGTTGGCTTCACAGGTCTCGGAGGAAGCCTGTGTTAGCCTTCACCCTCCTAGCGTTGATAGTATCGTGTGATTGGGGGAGTGCTAACTAGCGGATGGAATTGGAGACGAGTAAATTGGGGAGAAAATCGAGTAAAAAATAAAAAATAAAAATAAAAAAAAAGAAAATGGATATACATGTTTTTCTTTGGGCAGTGACAATATGTAATGTCCCAATTTTTGTCTCCCTATCACTATAATGATATTAGAAAAGATAAGATTTATTACGCATGCAGCACATAAATGGGGAAAAACATGAAAAAATACTACAAAAATGGCATCAATCATATATACTACAGAACTATGTATTAAACCAATAATTAAGAGGAAATGAAAACACTAAACACTTAAAATTTTAATAATACATTTAATTGCTGAGTTGTGTTATTTACTGTAAAGTATGTTTTCAGCTTTTTTCTTGTATTAAAATATGAACAACTTGTACTTTATGGCCAACACTTCTCAACATTAAATAAATCAAATGGTGGTCTCTGACTTTTGGGCAGTACTGTCCTTACAGGCACCCGTTAAATATCAATATTTCCCTAACAATGGCTCTGATTTTGATCAAACATCAATGTGAATCTTTGTATTGTGGCTACAAGATTTTTACCAAGTGGTATCAAAACTTTTCCTCAGAAAAGCCGAATGGGATGGCCATTAAAAAATATAAAGTAATGAAAACTGGCGAGGCAAAATACAAAGTAAATATATTAAATACTTTAAATTAAAAATCCAACTGTCAGAATGTATGGGTAACCAAGTACTATTAATGAGGAAGTGGAAAAACAAAGCATTTCCTGGCCTCAAATCAGACCTGACCCTTGTACTGGAAAAAGGCATGCAGTTCTTATGTTATACATTTAAAATTGAGAAGTGGTAGTGCATTATGGTGAAATCTATAAAAAGCTACAAACAAGGCAAAATTCCATTAGTGGTAGTAGAAATGTTGCGTTATTAGTTTACCCCATGTTGCCCGTGCTGTCCTTCATGGGCAGAGGAAGTCTTTTATGCTGTTAGTACCCAACATGGGTTATGCACAGCACAGAAAAAGAGAAAGAGAAAATGCAGGAAAAGGAAAAGCAGAAGAAAAAGATTAGATGACATCAGAGTAAAAGCATCAAAAGAAACAGACATAATGTGGTTACTCTTTGGCAAAGAATATGTAACTACAAATATTAGATACTGCTGATCAGAAGAAAGAGTTACTTAAGGGAGAAAAAGGCCGTTTTACACTTGCCATTAAATGCGCCTTATATCTGGATGTCCACATTTGCATTTAACCGTGTTTGTGACTGGAATGTAGCTGTCCTGATACCAAAGTAGTCAAGCATGCACAGTGGCTACACTGATGACCTAACATCACATGCAAGGCACCCACGACTTTCAAAATGATTGCTGCCTCTCTTGTTAAACAGGCTATTTTTAGCTGTTTGCACATGTATTTAAACATAAATTTACAAATACAAAAGTTAAAAAGCCTTTTCTCACTTCACTCCCACCACTCCTGGCTCTGATTTTTCTTTCAGTTGCGCTTAAGTGGCTGCTAATCAAAATGCACATAACTTGCTGTCTTCTCGTTCTGTGTAACTTAAAAGGCAGACAATTGCAAAACATTTCATAACACACTATTAAACACTGCTTAGCCTATAGAGGCTCTGCCTACTCTGCTCTGACACCACCAACCTCCTTTAAAAACTGAAATATTGCACAAAAAAAATGAGATCCAATTATATCAGGATGCAAAAGCGACATTCTGAAAAGCACAAAGATAAAAGTGCTGTGTCTTGATTGAATGATAATTGGGAGTTAATGCCAAGAGTAAACAGAGCCACACAGAGAAAAAGACAGTAAGCGAAAGAGACAGAGAAAAAAAATAAAGTTAGAAAGAAAAAAATGGCACAACACAGAAAAAAGAAAGCCATTAATTGTAGTGGGCGTAAATTAACACAGGAAATCTAAACAGCACCACAAAGCTCAAAAAAGGGCAGCTCCGTTCTTTGTAACACGGTAACAGATGACATGCATACCTCATCAGTCAACTGGTTGGCTCTCACAGTGATTTCTTCCACCGACATGTCTGCCATCTTGCTGGTGTCAATATTGGCTGATCTGTCTGCAACACTAAGCTCTACACTCTGGGGTCTGAGGATCAGAGGAGAGAAGTCAAAGTCAATATGGTACTCATAAGAAATAAACACAAATCCTCAAACCAAACTTATTCCATGTGAAAGGATTAGAATGCTATGAATTCAGATGTTGGATGACAGTTTTATGTTATCATTTATGAACAATCACCCACCTCTGGAAGCAGAATTAGTTCAAATTTTTAGAAGTAAAAGTATTAAGGAGAGGTTTTTCCCCCGGAATGAGACAGGAAAAAGGAAACAAAGATATAAGAGCCTCTCTGACATAGACAAACATAGACAAAGCAACATTTTTTGTTGTTTGCCTTTTGGGTATCATTTGGCCAAATACTTTCTTTATTGTGCATGTTAACTATACAAAACCATATAAAAATGTCAAGGCAGGCTGGTTAAAACACATGTAACAAGAAGCTCTATGTGGTGTGTCTATGTGTGAAAGACAGTGTGAATGATACTGCTCACCCGTAAAAATAAAAACACAGTACATTTCTCTGGTTATAAGATACATTGGCCCATACCATACAGTGAAAACAAAGAATAAGGGGGACTCAAAGAAGGGATGCAAACCAGCTACAACCAAAAAAAAAAAAAGAAAAACGTGAAAATAAATGTTCTAAATTAACTAAAACATTATTATTTAAATGAATCAATGTCACACTTGACTTGTATCATAAAAGTACTAATTGTTTAAGTCCGGGCAAGTTCACATGTAGAATACAAACAGTAGATTATGATCAGATAATATGATAATTCATCAAGCAGCCCTGATTCACAGGAAAGAGAGACACTTTTCCTGTGCAACAAATCTCAATCCTGTCACTTTTTCCTGTTTTGAATGACATATGGAGCAGAGTCACATTGTACAGATACAAAGAGAGAATATTAACTTTGTTGAACACCAACTTTGTATAGAAAAAACTGCAAAATTACAGAGATTTAAACAGAGCTTGTATTTTTTTTAGCCTTTACTACAATTTAGTTGGCTAACCTACAACCTACATGATTTGCCATACTAACTTAGATTGCATTATTACTTACTCGCTTATTGTACGCGAACACAAAAAGCCTTTCATTGGATCTAAACAGGGAATCGCATTTCCAGTTTTTCTCCATAAACAGGTTTTCCAAGATGTTTCCCCCACTGGCACTGGCTAACACAGACGATCTTAGTGCCAGAGTGAAGCACATAGTGTAACGTCTTCTAAATAATTACAGATTATACACCAAGTCAATTTATCTACTTGAAAACGGTAGAAAGCAATTATTTAATGATAGAACACAGCCAATTAACTGCTAAATAACTACTTACTGGAAAGTGGTCACAGAGTCAAAATGTCTCACAGCAAGACATGACTCCTACATACACACACAATAAAATGGTGATTCATATACAATACGAACACAATGTGAAATGGAAAAGTGCAATGTCAATACACCAGTGGTCTGCTTACAGCAGCAATGACGTTACGACGTTCATGGCTTTAAGCTAAGCATAACCCACACCCAGCAGAAAACTGCGCCTTACCCACAGGAGCTGTTCGACATGTTAGTAGCAAAAAAACCTTATTTTTTCCCAGTGTGCGAACGTCCCATCACCTAGATTGCTCGGTTCGTCTTTCATACTTACTGTTTACTCATGGTGTTTCCCCGTCGTCTTTTGTTCTAACTGGCAAAAATATTTGTTTATTTACACTGTCAAAGCAAACCAATGCCAGGCTGTATCTCAGAGCATGCTAGCTGGCTAGCGTAGCTAGGTTAAGTTAGTTCCTCTTTACTTTTAGTAGCAAAATACAAACATCCTGTTGTATTTTATATGGTGAACGTTGTGGGAAGTAGCACAAAGTTGTTCGGTCGCTACTTACTGGAGTAGAATCAAACAGGAATTCCTTTTAGTCTTCGAGTTAAGTAAAGTTTGCTATCTTCTGACATCAACGATTTCCGAAATTCCTTCAGAGCGACAACGACGGTGCGCATGTCTAGTCATATGACAGACAAGACTGCGCATGCGCAAACGAGAAACAAGGAGTTCAGTTTGAACACTAGAGAGCGCTATAACCATAGGAAAGACATAATTTTAGAGTTGAATTATAAAATCTACCCAATATAAAGACTGAGTTTATATTGTAAGTTAATAAAGCGTTAACATACAACAAAAAATGGCAAAATCATTTCCATTTCGACGGTCATATTTAACTTACCCGAGGACGAAATGGAAATAAGCTTGCTCGCAACACATGCAGAATTTTCTTGGATCCTCCCTCATACTTATTATCGTTGGGATGTATCTCAATTTTATTAACATTAATAAGAATGACGAAAATGGCCCTTACCTTGAACATTTATTTTATATGAAAAATGAAGGCATTCATATATTACAATGATACATTGCAATGATGTAACTATGGTGTGACCTTGTAGATGCCACTTGAACGTCCTGCGTTCAAGTGCATTTAGAATAAATGTTTGCAACTCAATTTAAATAGGCAGTTTGACTCCTCAGAAGTAATTTCTGAAAAGAATAAATGCCGTCCCATAAATCTAAACGCATATTTCCGCATTTATTTCTTTTTTATGTCTGATTAAATTTTTTATTCAATTAGGGTACAAAAGAGGTATATACATTATTCAAGATTAGATCATTACATTGAAGAAGGCATTGGGGAATTGCATAAACTGGAAACGTAGCTAGATTATTTACAGCAAGGGGAAAAATAATTATACAAAGGAGTCAAAGAATATCACAATAAGGGGAAGATTACTGCAGCAAAATACTGTATTTATATAGTACATTTGTGTGTGATTTTTTTTTATCCAAAATGATAAACATTAAGCAAGTAGTGGTTACATTCTTCTTTAGTCATCGCACATTTAATGCTGACATTATTCAGCCTCTACATAATAAATTATCCCAAAATTCTACTGTTCACAAGCTGCTATACATTCTACCGCGGGCATATTTTCGCATTTACGTCTTTACAAAGGATGTGATGACGACACGGTACGCAACAGAGTCAACTAGGAAGTGTGGTTTGTAAACTTTTTAGGCAGTGGCAGCTTTCGGCTGCATGATATTTAGCTAGAAAGATTGGCTTACCCTTTACAAAAAATGTTTTTCAGAAAGGATACTTATTCAGTGTAACAGACGGGTACAGTTGGCGGTAAAGTAAATATGTTTCTATTATTACGGCCATGGCATGAATTATTTGCTAGCTAACTAGTTATGTTAGCTTAGCTGGCTTCACAGGCAGCGTTAGACCCCGTTGTCTGACTTGAAATGAGCTAGCTAGCCAGTTAGCTTGCTTGCTAAAAGCTAACGTTATGTTCTTTTTAATATCGTACTCACTTGTTTGGTAGTTATGACCGTGACGTAGCTAGATAGATTTTTGGATTTATCTAACGTTACATAAAGGTACTGAAATATCTCAGCTGTGGCTTGTATAACTTGACGATCATTACTAAAGATAAACTCATGTTGTTGTAATAAAGCTTGTTAGCTGTAGCCTCGCTCATCACCTCGTAATGCAGCCTTACCCTTATGGTTAGACTGTTTGGTGTGCTCTTGTTCTAGAGTTGGATGCGAGACTTTGGCAACATGGAGGAGCGGAAGATCAAACGAAAAAGTCCAAGACCATCGACCAACCAGCCTGCTCCTCCAGTCGCCGCCCGAAAGACCGTCACCTCCAGTAGAGCTTTGGGGTTCACCGGCATGGGCACACACTCAAATCAGAAGAGTAGATACCGCAGGTGGAGTTTGGAGAATTAACAGAAATGAGTTTGGTCTCAAAATCAGTTGTCTCGAGAATCTCTGGATATGAGCTAATGTCTCCTGACAGCTCAGTTATATCTGTATGAGTATGTAATGATTTTCTCACAAGCAGTTATTTATAACAACCCAGTCACTTATCAGAATTTTGTTCTAGTAATACTTGTGTTAAAGTGGAATGCCACCTAGTTTTCAAAATGTTTGCATAGTTCAGTCAATGTGATGTGAACAAAGTTATTCAGAATGGGTTGATGTCAGATGGTACATTCTAGAGAAACTTGCTTGCTCTGATTTTCTTTGCAATAGTGATGATGGACCAAGAGTCACAATGTCTACAAAGCAAATATAGCCATTTTGTTTACTCTGCAATATGACTAGTGAATCTACATTCATCTTCTTAGTTTTAATATAATAATGTTAATTTTGTGAGGATTTTTTTCAGTACTGTTTTGTCATACAGTGCCCTCTGTGTCTTTCTGCCTTGAATGTATTGTATAAAAAACAAACCTGAATCTCAAAACTCTAATTTAAAAACTGTTGTAAAACAATATCCCATACGTCAAGCAACCTATCTGTAACTATCTCATGTAATAACTTTGTGATGTAGTTTTTTTTTTTTTAATTGCTTTAGATGCCTGGTTTCTTTTACCTAAAATGGTGCATTTTCCATTTTCAAACCACTCTGAATTATTTTGTTTACATCTTAATTATTGATTTACACTGAAATATTCAAAAAAAAAAAAATCAATGGAACTGTTCTTTAACTACAAGTAATTAAGCAGTAGAGTAATTAAGCAGAGATGGGTCACAGCTTTCAACTTGACACATCTTTCATTCATAGACAGACCTATGAGACGTGGAGTTCTGGTTACATGGGAGAACTGGGCAAAAAGTGCAAAATAATTAAAACAGAGAAAAGATTAACTGTTTTTTTCTTTTTGATGCTCTGTAGAGGGGTGAGAGATAAACCTAGGCCACAGAGTCAGTCGAGTAAGAGTAACCAGTCTGCCCCTATTCAGCACTCCTTCCTTACAGACGTGTCTGATGTGCAGGAGATGGAGAAAGGCCTCCTCAGCCTTCTCAATGACTTCCACTCTGGAAAGCTCCAGGCCTTTGGTGAGCTGCCACTTGTACTCTTAGCTGTATCTTGGTTGTGGCCTTTTGTCTTATCCTAAAAAATGAGACAACCTGTAAGACTCAGAAGATCTTTTTGGTTGCACAATAGGTAATGAGTGCTCCATTGATCAAATGGAGCATGTGCGAGAGATGCAGGAGAAACTGGCACGACTGCACTTTGACCTCTATGGAGAAGTGGATGAAATGCCAGAGGACCAGCGCAAGCTTGCCTGTGACACCAACATGGACAAACTTCTATTAAATGTAAGTAATTTTGATTGGCTTGTGCAGTCCAATACAACCAGAATTAAAATAGCTGAAATTTAGAAGTCAGTTTAGTGAAGTTTGGGAGGATTGAACATTTTTGTGGATTTGTCATTTACATACTGTAAGTTCATTTTCATTTACATACAGTAAGTATAAGGTACTAACAGTAAGTTCAACAAATACAATTTTTATACATACTATACTGGTAAACAGACCTAATTAATGCTACAAGACATTACTGACCACTGCTTAACTGAATTTACATGTATGTAAGCTAAACAAAATCATTTTTGACCGTTTTTAGTTTTCACAATCGTATGTTTATGTTTCAGCAAACAAAATGTCAGTTGGGTGCATTTTCATCATATAAGACAATAACGTAAATAAGAGAACATATTTATTAAACCTAATAAAAACAAAAAAGTTTTAAATTCTGACTGGTTATGTAAGACCTTTAGAGGTTAGTAGTGAGTAATGTTTGTTTATTTGAGGTTGAGCTGTTTCTGTTGTCAGTTGGAAGCTATTAAGTATTGACAATCATCATGAAATGGTTTTCAATGAAAGGGTTTTACCATTACCATGAGTTTAATAATTGTTCACTGTGTTGTTCTGCAGCTGGAAGAGTTGAGTTCTTCAATGTATCCTTTCAAAATTTTATAGAATTGCCATCTGGGCATATTATTTAAATAAAAAAACAACAGCTTTTTTCTCTGATCGCAAACTCCTACTTCACCCAGAGGCAAGTAAATTGATTGTATGGTATGTCTCCCAGACAGAGTTGTACAAGTTCTTAACCATGAATCCCTAGACAAAAACTGAACCTTGCTGATAGCCAAGATGTCCCCAGAACATCCAGCGTGTGAATTTGTGGAGACTAGATGCTGATCTGCCTATTGTGGAGTGTGTACATATCTATCACTGAGAAACAGCATGTCCAGCAGCATTACTCCTAACCATTAGTAACACTGGAATTGTGGAGCTACAGAACTGGCACACTTGCACAGTTTAGTATTAAATGCAATATCAAAGAATAAACTCATGAATTCATTACATTATCAAATGCACATCTTACCCATCTGTAGGTTTGTTGTATGAGGTCATGAGCAGGCTTGCTCTAATGTGTTTATAACAATCTAAACAATGTATCACTTGATTGTTGCCTTTTGAGTCGTGCAATATGAGAACATTTGCAATGTATATCACTAATTCACTTTATCTAATAACTATTTTTTCATTATTGAGATTCAGAATATTTTATTTTTTTCTTTAATTGATCACTGTGTTTTGAGATTTAATAGAAAGGCAAGGGTAGGTGGTTTGGAGCAAGCCCCTTTTAAAAATAACCCCAAAAAGTAAACCCCATGAATATTTGCCTTATTGTTACAACCTCGGATAATAGTATGCAGAGAAAAGGTTCTTGCACCAGAGAGGTGGAATCTTATTTTTTATAATAGCTTGTGTATATTGCAGATGTACCTACTTTATTTAAAAATGATTTACATTTCTAATATAACTGTTTGAATGTTCATGGTTTATGTGACTTGAATTTGAGAATGCCATCAATAAAGGTCACGTGTTAATGACCCTAACATTTCCTGTGCCGAAAATGTGACCAGCATTCTTGTTTTTTTGTTTTTCCTGTTCCCAACACTCCTGATCCAACTAATTAGCTAATTATCAAACCCTTACAGAGTAGGTGTTCTAAAGCAGGGGAAAGTACTAAAAGTTGTAGGGCAGGAGGTACTCCAGGACCAAGTTTGGGAACCATTGTTTTAGGGTATCACTTTTTAAAGATGGAAAACTATGCAAATTCAGAAAACACTTTGGAAAGATACAGATATTCTATTGTTAAACACAATTCTTCAGTCACATTTTGCTTAGTAACCTGTTTTTAAAATGCTTGCAGTCAGGTAATAGGCATTCCAGCTCCCGCTAGCATAAAATGACCAAAATATTAGCCTATAGCTACACTACGTTAAAAAATAAGCATATGACACCTAAGTCAATAAAAGTATTATTTTGCATACAAATTGCAAAATATCAGTGTGGCGTTGCATTAGGGCAGTGTGTGCAACTATTTTAAAACATGGATTACATTTTTTTAGCACTTTTCACCACAATTTCAGGTTGTACTAAATGGTACAATTTAGAAATTAACTTCTCTCCACACTCTGTGGCAAGTATAAAACTAATGAGGAGGCTGAGTTGACCTTGATCAAGATGGCAAGAGGAAGATTTAAGTAACTTTGGAAGAGGGTTCATTTTTGGGGCACGGATTGCCAGAGCTTAAGTCACAAAGACTGCTCAACTGGCTACTGTTTCAGTAGGAATTGTAAGTTAAGTGAAATTGTGGTCAAAAGGGCACATAGGATGGCCATTATGGTTGTGCATTAATATGAATTTTAAGTAATAATGTGAATGAGAATGTGCAGGATGTGATCAGACAGTTACAGCAAGAACAGTTCATCCAACTGACACAGAGAAGGACATTATTACGGTGGCCAACAAGACCCTATTCACGGTACAATTAAAAACACGTTGCAAAGTCATAAACGCACTGCAAACACAGAAAGTACTTTTATTTAAATGACTACCAAAACTATATTTCATCAACGCACTACAAATGCAGAAAACACTTTCATCAACATGACTACATCAGAGCTACGTTTTACAAACATACTGCAAATAAAGAAAACAAAGGCAACTCCAGAAATGCTGCAAAGCCTGCAACAACACAACAGAAATGTTTCTGGAAGACTCAAAGGGAATGGAATATCTATGTTTGAAAATCACTGACCCAAGTAGATAAGACCGTGGACACTCAAATCCCAAGTGCATGGCTGGCTAGTTTGCTATTTGACATGTCTGTACTGTGGGGGTTAATTGGTATTACCAGTTAACATTTGCAGTTACACTCTACAGCTAATTCCCATTACAATACAGTGATAGTAGTAATCTGCTCAAATAAAAGTTAACTTTTACTGGTGAATGTTTATGCTACATAGAATTTTAAAGTCTCTTTAAGTGTCCTCCAGAAACACCCTCACTGTGTTGTGACTCAGCATTTCTGAACATGTATGTGTTTTCTGTATTTGCAGTGCGTTTGTGAAATGCAGCGTCTCTGTTGTCATTATGATGAAAATGTTTTCTGTGTTTGCAGCTCATTTATTTGCAGTTTGTTGGGTCTTCTCAGCCACAGTATATTACAGTTGTGTCACAATGCAGATATTTATTACAAAGATGAATGCACATTTGAGAGTTCAGTGGTGCGAAAACCACAGACATTGGACTACAGAAACATGGAAAAAGTTGTGTGGTCAGATGAGTCAGTCTTCACCATATTCTTCATAAGTGGGTGAGTGCATGTGTGGTGCACACATCAAGAGAACAGTACATATCTGAATGCTTGACACGTGAGGGGCTCATGGTGGCTCTGGAATGCTGTGGAGGGCATTGTGGGTCAACTCCTCCCCTTTTAGGGGAGGGTCACTGCAAGTCATTATGAAGTAGTTCTGACTGATTACCCTGATTATCCTGTGACAAAATATTTCTATCCTGATGAGATCTCTTCTAGAACATCAATGGCCCCATCCACGGAGGCACGAACGGTCACTGAATGGTTTGATGAGTAAGAAATGATGTAAATCATACGCGAGTCACCAGATCTCAAAGCAGCAGAACACTTATGGGAGCTTCAGTTGCACCACCATTATCAAAACACTAAGTGAGGGATTATCTTTTGGAATAACTGTGTTCCATTCCTCCATTATAGTTTCAGAGTCTAGAAGCAGTTCTGCCGGCTCGTCGTGGTCCAACACCTTACTAAGACACTTCATACCGGTTCTTCCCTTTTTCACCCACCTGTATGTACTGCACAAATCTGTGTCAGCAAGTGAAGACCCTAATGCATATCACACTCCTGTGCAATTAATGAGCTTAAGAAAATGAACGTAGAAAATAAAAAAAATGAAAATACTGGAAAAGATTTGGAAAGGCATAGATTTTTTCTTGGAAAACGGTATTTAAGAACTGAATGTATCAGCATTTGTTCATTGTTTTGTCAGTTAGCTACTTTGCGCCTTCATTCCTAGTGAAGGAATTCCCAGACTGCGCTTTGTTTTCCTGTTTCTATGGCAACGTAAAGTGCACCTAAGTGTCGCTGCAGTCTAAAGGTGCCAAACTTCTGTCATTGTTTTAAACTTAATTGTTAGATTATATTTTAAATAGAGTCTCGACGCCATTTGGCTACATTATTTCGACACTAATTGGGACTGCCCATTAAGTTTGGATTTGGATTTCATCAGCACGTAAAGTGGCGCCAAAATGACATCCGTGGAATGGAGCGCTCTCCAGCCAGGGAGCCGTCCGAGTCCTGACAGTATTAAACAATGGCAGCTCAACGGAAAAGAGCACACACCATTTTCAGCAGAAGAGTCTTGGTCTGGAGTTACAACCCCTCGGTTTAGTGCCTGGACACCTGTAACAAATAAGTCGTCCAACCAACAGGTGAGATGAAACATAACTTCGCTTTATATTCACTTCGCGGAAAACAAAGATTTCCTTCCTTTTGAATAAAAGTGTTTGATGTTTCAAAACGTACTTCTCACTCCCAAGTCCATATAATGTATACAGTGTTTCTTTATGCGACTTCCTGTAATACTTCCTGTGTATGTATATGTATATATATATATATATATATATATATGTATGTGTGTGTGTGTATATAGATAGATAGATATACACCGATAAGGCATAACATTATGACCACCTCCTCGTTTCTATGCTCATTGTCCATTTTATCAGCTACTCTGACTATATAGGTGCACTTTGTAGTTCTACAGTTACAGACTGTAGTCCATCTGTTTCTCTGCATACTTTGTTAGCCCCCTTTTACTCTGTTCTTCAGTGGTCAGGCAGGACCCCCATGGACCCTCACAGAGCAGGTACTATTTGGGTGGTGGATGATTCTCAGCACTGCAGTAACACTGATGTGACATAAAAACTCCAGCAACACTGCTGTGTCTGATACACTCAGACCAGCACAACACACATTAACAGACCACCACCACGTCAGTGTTACTGCAGTGCTGAGAATCATCCACCACTCAAATAGTACCTGCTCTGTGAGGGTTCATGGGGGTCCTGACCACTGAAGAACAGGGTAAAAGGGGGTTAACAAAGTATGCAGAGAAACAGATGGACTACAGTCTGTAATTGTAGAACTACAAAGTGCACCTATATAGTAAGTGGAGCTGATAAAATAGACAACGAGCGTAGAATCAAGGAGGTGGTCATAATGTTCTGCCTGCTCAGTGTACAGCTCCATTTCCAAAACAGTTAGGACGCTGTGCAAAATGTAAGTGAAAACAAAATGCAATGATGTGGAAATCATTTAAACCCTATGTTTCATTGGAAATAGTACAAAGACAACATATGTTGAAGCTGAGAAATTCTATTGTTTTTTGAAAAATATTTGCACATTTTGAAATTGATGCCAGCAACATGTTCCAAAAAAAGTTGGAACAGGGGCAAAAAAAGGCTGGTAAAGTTGTGTAATGCTAAAAATGTAATGTGGCAACAGGTCAGTAACGTGATTGGGTATAAAAAGAGCATCTCAGAGAGGCTGAGTCTTTCAGAAGTAAAGATAAGTAGGGGTTCACCACTCTGTGAAAGACTGCACGAGCAAATAGTGCAACAATTCAAGAATAACGTTTCTCAACATAAAATAGCAAAGTACTTTTGCTTTTCTTCATCTACGGTACATAATAATATTAAAGGATTCCGAGAATCTGGAGAAATCTCTGTATGCAAGGGACAAGGCCAAAAACCAGTATTTGCTGGCCATGATCTTTGGGCCCTCAGGCAGCACTGCATTAAAAACAAACATGATTCTGTAGTGGAAGTCACTGCATGGGCTCAGGAACACTTCTGAAAACCACTGTCTGTGAACACAGTTTGTTGCTGCATGCACAAATGTAAGTTAAAACTCAAAGAAGAAACTGTATATGAACAAGATCCAGAAATGCTGCCACCTTTTCTGGGCTGGAGTTCATTTAAAATGGACTGAGGCGAAGTGTTCTGTGGTCCGACAAATGAACATTTGAAATTTTTTTGGAAATCATGGACACTGTGTCCTCCAGGCTAAAGACCACTCAGCTTGTTATCAGTGCACAGTTCAAAAGCCAGTATTCATAATGGTACAGGGGGACATTAGTGCACATGGCATGGGTGACGTGCACATCTGTAAAGGCACCATTAATGCTGAATGATATACATGTTTTTGCAACATATGCTGCCATCCAGATGACATCTTTTTCAGGGAAGGCCTTGTTTATGTCAGCAAGACAATGTAAAACCACATTCTGCATGCATTACAACAGCACTCCTCCGTATTAAAAGAGTCTGGGTGCTAAACTGGCCTGCCTGCAGTCCAGACCTGTCACCCACTAAAAACATTTGCCGCATTACAAAGTGAAAAATATGACAAAGGAGACCCCGAACTGTTGAGCAGCTGAAATCCTATATCAAACAAGAATGAGAAAACATTTAACTTTCAAAACTACAGCAGTGGGTCTCCTCAGTTCCCAAACATGTACAGAGTGTTGTTAAAAGAAAAGGTGATGAAACACAGTAGTAAACATGCCCCATCCCAACAAATTCAAAATGGGCATACATTTTGCAAAAAACAATAACATTTCTCAGTTTCAACTTTTGATATGTTGTCTTTCTAGTATTTTCCTTTAAAAATATGGTTTACATGATAGGCATATCATTGCATCCTATTTTTACTGACATTCTGCATAGCGTCCCAACATTTTTGGAAATGGGATTGTATATTTATATATAGCATATATCAGTCTTTGGTAATTTGAAATTGATTATGACTGTTTTTGGTACACAGACCTTCAAAAATGTCAAAAGTGGACGTCAGCAAAAAAAGTAAAATACAAGACAAATGTAGGAAATGGAGCCTTTAAGGCTATATGTTACTAGATGATAGAATTAAAAATATGACCAGAAAGTGTACAGCTTTTTCAGGAGAGAACAACCCTCATCCTTCACTGGTTTGACCTATGGACAGACAAACAGCGGAAATATGTTCTTCATCAGCTCTTAAGAAGATGCTCTAAGTCCCAGCTCAAGTAAATCAATTCAGATTTAAATGACATCCTTAATGATAGCTGTTTTTTTTTGCATATTTTGTCTCTATAATGATATGGTACAAAATTATAACATCTTTTTTTAACTTTAGATTCATCAGTGACTATTTCATGGAAGCAGTCCCCATCACTCGACTGGACTTCACCACTGCGCTGCCACGCTTTCTCTCCATATACATCCTATCCTTCCTGAACCCCATGGACTTGTGTGCTGCAGCCCAGGTCTGCTGGCACTGGAGGTTTCTAGCAGAGCAGGTGAGCAGGGTTGCTTGCCTACACCTAGTAAAGAGTTAACTTTTTGCTGTACTATGTAAATGTTTTTGGGTAATTTATGACAGTGTAACTAAGATTAAAATTTACATTTAAATTTAAAGACCACACACTAAATTTCAAAAGTGAAATAAATGACAAGTTTTGATGAAAAATCATTTTTGAGGATTATGAACATGTATAATCAAAATAATGGATAAAAACAAGGAAAAATATCTGAACATTTTCACGTTTAACTTAACTAAGACAAAAGCTTAAAGAAAGAAATCAGCATGCTAAAACTCTGAGTCAAGAGAGAGAGAAAGTGGTAAGGGTGAGAGCACCCACAGGTGTCCTCCCCATCATCTTCCCAAACACTTGATTAAAGCAGTTATAGTTTTATGAAAATGATATGTAAAATAGACAATCTACATATATATTTGCTGATTCCTCAAACTGTTTAATGTGGACTTGACTTGGTTTAGAAACCTGTCTAAACACAGTGTCACTGATGAGATTCAGTCAACAAAGATAGTATCCCTCATGTGCATCTTAATGACGTCAGCGAGAGTTGCTCTCAGTCAGACTCAAGGCCTTGAAAGTTCCCAGTTGTGCAATAATGGAAAAACCCAGCTCCGATTCCTGTACCATAGGCTGTTGCCAGGTCTGATAGGATAGATTCGAGATCGGCATAACAAGTCCTTATTTTTTGTCACAGCATCCTTCTCAAGGAACATAACAACCCTGTTACACATTTACATGTGATATACATACTCTCTCTCTCTCTCTCTCTCTCTCTCTCTCTATATATATATATATATATATATATATGAACATTTAGAATCTGCAAATTCTGCATAATTTTTTGCCTCTTTCAATGAGCTATTTTGCCAAGTGTAAAATAATTAATATGGAATTACATCATTTTTTATTGCTGGTGATAACTGCAACCTTGAGTTAAAATCAATAAAAAATCAGGCATCTCTGACTCTGGTCCAGCATAGTTAGGTCATGCCCCTTTTTAAACATGCTTGATTGAACTCTCCCATCCTTGGTCTGAAATTTAAAGGATGTAAATAAAATTTTACAGCACAGACTTAACTAGTAGCCTGTAAAGCATATTGCACCTCACTGTATTTTCCCCTACTTAATAGCTGTACATAGCTGCAGGGCCGTTTATGAACATTTAGGGGCTCTAAAATAATCCTGCTTGGGGCCCCCCATCCAGTTCTGTGATATTCTTTTGTATGCATGAATGAAAAGAATTAACCTCTCTTCCCAGTAGCCATAAAATGCAGTTTCTGCCTGTTTTGGAGGTCCTCTGGGTGTACTATACTTTTCTTCAATAATATTGATGGAATATAATTTGATGGAATTGTGAATGATTTACAAAACCAGAAGTGAACTGAATTTTTGGCTCTGTGGGTGAGTAAGCAAGTCAACATTTATTTGTTATATAGTGTTTTTATCATTGTGGTGATTAAGAAAGCTGCAGTTGTGATGTCCAATTTATCTAAGCATGGCCATCTTTGTGGAAAGGTTCTCACCCCCCTCCCCATTGGTCTCTAGCAGCTCAACACAGAGTCACAACATTTCAATAGTGTCCTTGTTAATCTGCTAACAGAGTTACAGGATAAAAATATTTTTTCTGATTATATAAATTAAAAACAAAATAATGTCGTTTTCCATTCTGCTGGGGGAATGGCCACAAGTGGGTCTGCAGAAATACTTAATTTTGAGCAGAAAAAAGTAAGAACATCTCAGAATTCACTGCAGTTTTTTGAAAAATGAAACAGAATACATTTTTAACAGTACATACATACAAGTATAAGCTTCTGCTTGTACCACTTATAGCAAGAAATAGGCCTGTGCAGCAGTGCATATTTGCTCTTGCTGAATAGTGGTGACATCTGTACTTAGCTGTCCATTAATTTTCTCTCACTATGTGATTACTCAGGACTGCTTGTGGTCTCCAAAGTGTGTTCGACGAGGTTGGTTCCTTCCCTACAGCCCATCAGATAAAGAGTACGGTGCCTGGAAAAAACACTATGTGGCCTGTGCTGGTAGCCTTGATTTTCTATCTCCACGTGAAGCAGCAGACATCTATGGTACTCTGAATGAAACTTTGACTGAGCCTGAAGAGCAGAAGGAGAGAAAAACAGAAAACATCATCAGACAAACTATCCGGGAGAAGATAGTGGAGCATAAAAGTGAGCTTACTTACAGTAAACTTTAACCAAGCAGTGTAATGTTTATACAATACTTCAGTACATTTTATGCAGAAAAGGAAAAGGTGAATGCTGTCCCTGAATATAAACCCATCTGGTGAATTAGTGAATACTTTTCAACAGGAGCTGCTTTAAAGACCAGGAGAGCTTGGTTAGCTAACAGCTTATCTGGAGGAACATATGCCAGCAGTGTCAGACAGAAGTCTAGCATGCTGCCGCTGAGTCTTACAACTGCTCTTCTCCAACTGGGGGTAAGACTTTAATATCAGACACTAAAAAAAGTATAGTGAATATAACAAAGGCAATTGTGCTAACTTAGATCAGTGAGTTTAGGTGGTCATCCTGGCATTTTGCTGTTTTTTAAAAAAATACTTCAGCATTTTAGTGTATAGTCGATTGCCATGGATAGACCTGTGTGAGAGGGTTGTGTAATCAGATATTAGCGATGATTGACAAGTAATCTGATGACAGTGCAAAGGTAATTGATATCTTGGTAAAGGGAATTACATAGGACATCTTGTTAAATAATATTAAACAATATATACTTCTAATGTTTTTCCCTTTTACTGTTTATACAATAAGTGTTTACAGGGCATTAATGATCTGTTTACTGTAGAGAAATTTGCCCACCTGCTAGAGGTTTTCCAAGAGTCATCATACTGTCAGAGAAAAATTCTAAGCATTTCCATACAGCCCATTTAAAAATATATATAAAATAAGAGAAACATATAGAATATGAGCTCTTAAAGTGTCCCAGTGGTTTGAATGATTGACATGAGTAAATTCATAAAAATACATATATAAAGCTGGATATATGGAACCTGTCCGCTATTACAACGGAAAACATTGAATTAAGCACATGGATGTGACTTTTGAAACACATATGTTTAGCAAGCTGAAGTTTATCCACATTTAAATGTGCATCATTTGAAGACAAGAAACAGCCATAAACCCACACCAGCAGGGGAGTTAATGCTAAAGAAGATACAAACTAAAGATAGCACAGAAAGTAAGTCTAAGCTGCAGCAGATTAATATTGTGTAAAGTGTATTTCTTTGCATGGGTGGGAGAGGGAGGATTGATGATTTAATCAATACCATGATAATTATTTTTAAATATTTCCCAGGCCTAGCCATGGAGAATTGTTTTGGTTTCAGTAGCTAAAGCAGGTGTCCATTAACTTCTGTAAGTGTGATTTGAGTCAACACGTTTTCTGTTCTTACAAGTACTGGGAAACACATTATTATTTATTATCAACATAATGCAAATGCAGCAGATAAACAATTATGTTAAAAAATGTTGGTGTATTCCTGTAAGTGCTTACATACTGAACTCATGGTTTTCCTGATTATTGAACAGTGGACAGATCGATACTGGTGAATGCAGTTGTTGTTGTGTTCATATTTAGGATAAGTACCGCCCGGAGAACTTATCCAGCATGAAAGAGCACAGAGCTCAGCTGAATTCCACTCTAAGTTCGACTGTCAAGAAGACTTGGGCCACCAGCTCTATGAAAACACTACCAATAAGGTCAGTTGACTTGTAAATCCCTTTCAGTTAGAAGGTTATATTTATACTGTTTATACAGTGGTCTCAGGTGAGTGTAACACTTAGCTTCAGTCAAAACAATCAAAACCTTTGAGACTTTCTGTAACTGGCTGAATTTTTACAGCTTGCCATTAAAGTCACATATCAGGTCCAATGATCACCCTCCAGTTCACCTGCTACTTGTGTCATCCAGAATTCCTGCATATGAGGTAAACAAGTATTCTAAAAATGATTACTTTTGTTTTGCTATACTGATCAAATGTACAGTCTGTAATAACAGCTTCTGACTTTTTCCCATTTCTTCTGATGTCAGCAATGTTAAAGATAACGTGGCAAAAATGTAAAGGATGATTTTGCTTTCTGTAATTTTTCACCACATTCAAACCATAATAAAATATCTCGTCTTCTACTTATTCTGCAAATTGATTTAAAATTCAGAATCCTCACGTCTGTCAGAATTTCTCTGCTTGTTTACATGAGCTATTGTGTGTGAAATAATGTTACATTACATGGATAACCTTTCTAGCTGGTGCTGTGTGGAGCTCTGGTCCATGTGGTGCCATTGTTGTATGACTACAGTGGAATGACTTTGGAGGCTCTTCTCTCTCTGGTTGAGAGGGCTATAGAAGGCAGAACAGTGCAGAGTATCGGCATTATGGCCGAAGGAAGCACTGAGGAGATTTGCCTTATAGAAGGTGACCGTTCTTCATTAAGTCCATAGTATGTGGGATCAATGGCTCACTATTGAACTCTGTTAGCTAATGCTTTTTTTTTTAACAATGCAGTAATGCAGTGCGCTGCTGTCAGAACAAAACCTCGTATCTCCAAAATGGTAACTTTACAGGAGAAGGAAAAAACATGCTTGGCTTTTAATGTAAGTCAATGGAACTTTGGACTTTTTCCAAGTAATTTTTGGCTGTTTCTTTTGGTTCATTCATCATGAAACTCACACACAATGTAAAGAGTAACAGGCATTTTCAAAATATGTCAAAAAGTGAAAAAGGACAAAAGTTGAGATACAAGGTTTTCTTCCGACAACAGTGAGTGGTTCTCTTGTATTAAAACAATGTTTCCTTGTCCTGTTAGTATTGCACCTTAAGTATCTTACAAATAGGTTGGTATTACTCAATCACATAAAACTTCTTGGGGTTATTTGAGTTTGAGAATAAATCAGGTTCTTGATTTCCTTCACTGTAGGCCTGAGCATTACTGAGAAAACTATTTTGAAGCCGTGTGTAAGGGAATTCTGGAAAAGGCTTTGTGGCTGGGTGGTCCCTGCCTCAGATACCGGAACTTTGGATGTCTTTGCTCCTCTGGCTGCTTCTGGTCAGTCTACAAGTATATGTTATACAGGCAGTAACTATTTAGATTCCTGTATTAAAATACCTGTCCTGAAGTGCACACATAAGATTTTTAAATTACTGATTACTGAAGAATTAAACTTTGTATAAAGTGTTTTGTAACAGGGCCTACACTAAATTGTATAGTGCAAAAGTACTCCATAAATGGTCTAAGGCTGGTTCAGAAGGGCTTGCTGAGCTGGTGCAGACAAGGCAAACTTAGATCCACAGTCATGACGACAAGCAGACAAGGCAAACTTAAATCCACAGTCATGACGACAAGCATGACACAGACAAGGCAAACTTAGATCCACAGTCATGACGACAAGCATGTAAACAGTGAAGAATTTAATATGATTGCGACCTTACTGAGCTAATGCTATGGAGTTATAGTTTGATTTGCATTGTGCCAAACAACATTTACCTGTGGTAAAACCACTGTAATGCAGTGGCTTTTGTGTCAAAAATATTTCAGTGTTTTAAAAAATACACCAATGTTCAATAAAGTAATGTGATCTGTGCGGTGATATTTGTGTGCGTACAGTAACATAAAAAAGCATTTGGATATTCATATGTTACTTAAAAATGCATTAATTTTAATTTTTAAGTTAGGAAGTAAAATGTCAAACCAATTGGCATTTATTTTAAACAGATTATTCCAGTACTCTAGGTTTCTTTTTAGAATAGTATTCCTTTTAGAAAGGTGGCTAAAATGTTTTAAATCATTATTGTTTGAGTAGTTTCTTTGCAGACTTCTGTAGAGTTAGATCCAAAGTGTCTTTGTACACTTCTGAGCTCATGATCCCATCAAACTCACCATCACCACTATCAGAGAAACAGCCCCAGATTTTGACATTTGCTCCTCTATGCTTTAAAGTAGCCTTAGAGCAGTTGGTTAGGAATTCTTCATGCTTTCTTCACTCAGAGTATTTTATGAGATATCCTAAAGCATGTTTTGTTGATTACTGGTTAGGTTTTTCCAAATGCTTTTTGGAGCCACTGTATATCAACTATTGTACAACAGCTTCAAACATAGCTCAGCCAATCAGATTTTAGAACTTGAACTATATCCATTTTATTCTTATCTTCTCAGTTGCAGGGGTGGAGCTAATAAGCATACTGGCCACTCTGAGTGGATTGAGTGTCAGGGCACCCACAGGAATCTGCACTGGCTCCTACCAACACAGTGAGTAAATTCAAGTGATACACAGGAGTAGGACAGTGTAAATGCTAGGAATGTTTTATAAAGCCCTTAATTAATGGCTTGGTTAGCCATTAAGGTGTTAAGTAATTTTTGTATCTTGTGTCAGTTCTGAGTGACTGGTCAGGGAATGGTGACTTTCCACCCCTGCTGTATCTGAGAGAAGGGCCCTTGCTGAGCTGGTGCAGACAGGCAGAGTGGATTGAGCAATCTCTGGTAAACCTAAGAAAACAGCTGGGGCCACAACTGCAGCTCTTGAGTCAAGAGAGCAGAGGCCGCACACTGGGTAAGTCTGATCAACTAAGATCTATGGAAGGGAAAAAAATGAGTGCATGTCCAAAAGAACACTGTTCCATTTGTGACCTCACTGCATTTTAATCATTTTTTAAAGTCTACTAATGATGATGTTATTATATAGAATAGCCTGTTACCATTATAACAACAGTCTTTTGGTTTTACAGGTCTGTTCCTTTGGGATCATATAACCTTGCCTTTGTTCACGCTCAAATCTGAAGTTACGCAAGTTCTCATAGAGGGTCTTGTGGCACTTATCAAAGAAAAATCAGTAAGTAAAGACTGTTGTAAGTAAGTAAGTAAGTAAAGTTTATTTATATACGCTTTTACAACAGGTGTTGTCACAAAGCAGCTTTACAAGGAAATGAGCATTACAAAAAGAAATCCGGGTCCAAGCCCCCATGAGCAAGCCAATGGCGACAGTGGCAAGGAAAAACTCCCTAAGAAACAGGAAGAAACCTTGAGAGGAACCAAGACTCAGAAGGGGAACCCATCCTCCTCTGGTCGACACCGGATAGTAAACATTGTTAGTATAAAGTATTATAGTACAAAAACAGGGAAAGAGGTGGAGCAAACAATTAATTTGAATAGTTTAGTTCATGCATCAGCATCAGTGTGGTCAGGCTGTGAGGGTGAGGTTTGCACGGCGAGCAGTGGCACCCGATCAAGGCAGAAGAGGCAGCAGCGAGTCAGTTCTGCAATGGGTTGTACAGCAGGAGGCTTAATGTTGGTAAGCCGGTCCAGAGGGCTGGCGAGCAGTGGCACTCGATCAAGGCAGAAGAGGCAGCAGCATCAGAACGTACAGGATGGGCAGCTGTTCAACTCGGCGAAACAAAGAAAGGAAAACACACAGAGAGTCAGTTCTGTACTGGGTGACCGATCACAAATTACAGTGTTAGCAGAGACTCTGGCAGGTATAAAACTGACAGGGAACTAATTACCAAAGGCTTGAATATACAAGTACATTTTAGCCTAGACTTAAACACTGAGGCTGTGTCTGAGTCCCGAACATTAACAGGAAGACTATTCCAAAGCTGGGGGGCTTTGTATGAGAATGCTCTCCCCCCTAATGTAACTTTATTAATTCTAGGTACTAATAGTAAGCCAGCACCTTGTGATCTAAGTAGGCGTGATGGTTTATAGTGAGAGAGAAGTTCACTCAGGTACTGAGGGGCGAGTCCGTTTAGTGCTTTGTAAGTCAGTAAGAGAATTTTATAATCAATGTGAAATTTAACTGGTAACCAGTGTAAGGTTGATAAAACTGGGCTGATATGGTCGAACTTTCTGGTTCTTGTAAGGACTCTGGCTGCAGCGTTCTGGACCAACTGAAGCTTGTTAAGGCTTTTGCTGGGACATCCAGCCAGCAGGGCATTACAGTAGTCTAGCCTTGAAGTAATAAATGCATGAACTAACTTTTCTGCATTCTGTAGAGATAATGCATTTCTCAATTTAGCAATATTGCGGAGATGCAGGAAGGCTGTTCTAGTAATATTAGTTATATGTGCGTCGAAGGACAGATCAGAGTCTATAATGACACCAAGGCTTTTTACAGATGAGCTTGATGCAACTGAGAAATTGTTAAGTTTAAGTGTAAAATCAGACAGTTTGTTTCTAGCTGCTTTTGGACCAAGAAGCAGAACCTCTGTTTTATCCGAGTTTAGAAGGAGAAAGTTACTTGACATCCAGTCCTTTATGTCTTTTATACAGTCTTCAATCTTGCTAAGTTTAATTTTATCATCCGGGTCGCTTGCTAAATATAACTGAGTGTCATCGGCATAGCAGTGACACTCAGTTATATTGTGTCTTTACATCTGTCAGTGTACATTCAAATCTTCTTTAGTTTTTATGAGTCTGATGTGTTGATTAGCTCCTGTGTTATACTGTAGGATAATCCACTGGAGTTCCTGGGAACTTTTCTATTGAAGATATGTGCGGAAGGCGCTGTGAAAAAACATGACCTCATCACTGTTACAAAGAGTGTGTCGAACAGGCTCCCAAGCTCTATTCCAGTGGTGCCAGAGGTGTGTATGCTTGTAAATAAATGTGTGTATGATAGAGAGATTGTGGTCTGTGTTGGACAATACATATTTCACCACACTGTAAAAAATATTTTTTTAGTAAGTAGGGGAGAGGAGGGCCCAGCCTAACATATGGTAATATATAACATGGATGTTTTACATAGTCCCTTTGTTCATCATCTCATATTCCCAGAGCGATGTCTTCTGTGAATTTTCACAGCAATTGGGCAGACATTTTTTGTGCTATAAAAGCAACTTTTTTATCATACGTGTTTTTAAATTGTTGAATTGTGTGTAAGTCATACATATTTTCACCCTGACTATTTTAATCATTCTCATCATTGGTGGCTGAAATATAGCTATGCTTGAAGCATGTAGACAGCTCATAGTGAGAAATAGACAGGCTAATATCTGGCCTCCACATGAAGAGATTAGTTTTAACACTGTTTTACAACTAAGCATAGCAAAGTAAACAATGAGTCATATAAAACAATAGTCAATTTTTTAATATTTTTGGGCGTTCATCAAAAATATTATAGTTGTCATGTAAATACAAAACAGTGTTTATTGTATTATATTGTACTGATACTGATATTAGCTCTTCTGCTTTGTAATTAAAAATAAATTTGCCACATTTGAAACATATTTGACTCTTTTGCTAATATTTATTTTAATGAATATTTCTTAATTTATTTAGGTTCTAAAGCTGGTTCAAACAGCATAGAATTATATTGAGTTATTTGTGTTTTGGACTGGATTTACCTGACTTTTTAGCCCTGCTGTCAGTTATAACTAACTCCACCTATGGGAAAAGTTGCTCACTCAGCTTTTGCTGAATTGTTCATAAAACATAAAAGTTTATGTTTACAGAAATGTGTAGGTTGCTTGTGGAAACTGAATGAAATTGCTCAAATCATTTTAAAATGATTTTGCAAAAAACAAAACGTGAATTTTACACAAAAATTGTGCCTTGCTCTCCCCCAAGTAACCTGGCTGCCTAAAAAATGAGTTTGTTGATGCTCTAATAGTAAGTGAACAACACAATAATCTGTGTACTACATACTGTTGACTTATTTTAAGGTAGTCAGATTCCTCACTTTTTAAAATACTAAATAATTTTACAGTATTGATGCCTTTAAATCAGATTCTTTTTTTTATTAGGGTCTGTTAAGTGATGCAGACTGGCGTGATGCCATCTGTAGGGAGCTTCTGAAGAGTGAGAGGGCTTATGTGCGTTTGCTGCAGGCCATACACACAGTGTATTACATTCCACTCAGAGCGGCTTTGGACTCCAACCGAGCCATCATCAGCTCGGCCAACCTTCTAATGCTCTTCAGTCCTTTGCTGGACATCTTGGAGTGCAACAAGTAAAGACACCCTTCACTCCACAGTTCTCTAATAGAAATGTTGTGCTCTTTAACCACATTTAGGATATTTATATGGCATTAATTTTGTCTGGACTAACACTGCCTGTACTTGTTCATAAAGCACGATGCTAGTTTAGACAAAGTTTAAGTAATTTAGAATCAAGAAAATATTCAGATGATGCATTATATAGCTAGCAGGGAATGTCAGTAGTAGAGCATTATAGTAGTCAATATGTGAAAGCTTCAGCGAGTGTGAAATTTTTTGCAGTATTTTTCTGCAGGACCTCACAGAGAAGGTGGAAGAATGGAGTCTTCTGCAGTGTGTGGGTGGTGCATGTGTCAGGTTCTGCACCAAGCTACGGGCCTACACTAATTTCTTCAATAACTACCCCACTGCCATCAGGACCATTGACAAGGTAGAAAAGGTCCCTGTGACCACAGTCTCGCAAACCAGACCTCTGGTAGCTTTTGTTAGGACCGTAATTTTTATGTGATGTACAGTACTGCAAAGATGTTTTAGACATCTACATTGGATTTGAAAAACCATCTATCTGGTCAGTAAGTGTTTATTTACTCAGAAAAATACTACTACTTATAATACAATAAATAGTGATCATATGTATTACATGTATTTGTTTTACCATTTCCAAATTATCTCCTTGAAGAAGCTCAGCATTAATTGCAGTTATCATCCAGTATTTAGTTTGGCTAAACAGTACCTCTTTACGTTAAATCAAGGTGATGGTGGTGGAATTCAGCAAATACATGCAAGGTGTCCAGGAATTACGTGAAACCAAACTTTGTTCTTCAAACAAACAAAAAAAAAAAAACATGGTACTTTTTGCTATATTTGTTTATTGGCATTTGTTTATTAGATTATATGGTAGGTGATTTTCAAAATGGTATTGCAGCAAAAACAGATCTGTAAGAAACAAGGTGGTATGCCTGCCGGCAAGATGTGGCAAAGTCACATTAATGCTTCAAATAAAACTCCTGAATAAATTTATAAAATTATTTTGTGAACTTCATAACTGTTTTTTTTTTCCTCAATTCAGCAACCATAACTTGCTCCGACAGGCTAATCATTGACAACCTGAAGAAACTACAACTTTTTGCTGCTGGTGCTAGCTAGCATTCAACATGATAAGCAAAAGTTTGTTTTTGCAAACAAATAAAACTCGGTGCACAGATGTGCATAGACATGAATATGTAGATAGCCTGCACTAAAATGCACTTGGCAAAGCCCTGATAGTTGTGGCCAATTTATTGTGCAGATTTAGATATTTTAAGGGGGCAACTTTAAAATTTTTTGTTGCATTTTAAATCCACTTATAATGTTTGCCTAAAATTATGTTCCTAAAACAGTTTACACAACCATTTTCCAACCTCTTGACTTAAAACAAGCTGTTTTGTTGTTGTGCCCTTGATAATTGGCTGCCCTGTATTGTGTCCTGTATTCAGTCTGAACTGTGCAGAACAAGCTATTAAGATTGAAATCTTAAGAGACATCATAAAAAGATTTCTAAAGATTTCTGGACCCTTTGGAAAGCTGTGATAATACATTTGTTTCCTGACAGCCAGGGATAGCATGGGCAGGCTAAAGTGCTGCAAGCTGAGTGGGCAGTCATATGTAAATGTGTTCGTGGTTGTAACATGGCAACCGTGTTGAATTCAAAACAGGTTGTTTTTGCAGCTTGGTTTTCATATATGGATTGTATGAACTGCAGGATAAACCAGACATTTTGAAACATTTACAGTACAAGCAATAGAGACCTTTGGTCATAAAGCAAGTATCTAATGTAGAAGTACATATCATGATATCTAGTCTAAAATCACTTTTTTGTAACTGGACATATGTCAGAAACATTTAAAGTTTTGCTTGCTTTCCAGTGTAGAGAGGTTCTTCCTGCATTCCGAGCCTTTCTAAAGAGACACAACAGGACCCTTGCTACTAGAATGTTAAGGTAATACGCAATACTCAAATTAGTCTAATTTTCTCCTTCTGGTAACATGGAGCCTTCATGCACTGCCTTAACAAGTGTTCATTTCTATGTCCAGCATCCAAGAGCTGTTTCTGAGTCCATCCTTACGAGTGGAGGAGTATGTGACTTTGCTTGAGGCTTTAATGCTACACACACCACCTGAACACCCTGATCACACACACTTGTCCTCTGCATTCAACACACTAGTGAATTACAGGAGCTTCATCCGTAAGGTAACCACTGTACACTTGCTGCAGCTTCAAGTCAAACATTTTATGACATTACTTTTCCCAGTGGAATACATGCCAAATGAAAAGCAACCTCTTTATGGAAAAAAACAGTACATAACAATTTGCATTTAAAAATCGAAATGCTGAATTCATGTCAGAATTGAATACAATCTACCTTGAAATGAATAGCGTATTATGATATATTGCACACAAACACTTTTCCACCATGCAGTACTTCAAATGACGTTAAATCAGTGCAGTGGATCTTTTGCTTTTTCGTTTTTGCATGTTTCCGCATGTCACTGTTTAAATGCAGTCTCATGTTTCCATTACAATTGACTTTTTCCACTGTTATCTTGAATGCATATATATTTGAAGTAGCGCACAGTGGACAAGTTAGTGGTCAACTATATAAACTGGAAACTCTGTAATTTTGTGTACATAAATGTTTTTAGATAAACTGCACATTGTGAATTTTAGATTAAACTCCTTGTATTTGTAAGTAACAAACATTGAACTGGTCTTGGATTAATGTGCAGTGTGTCTGAAGATGTTTAATCTTTTTAAAACCACCAGTGTGGCCAAATTTGATAAATTTCCAGGTCTTTCTCATGATTGATTTAAACTTAGGTTAATGAAGACGTCAAGAGATGCAACACTGTTCATAACACAACCTCACACAGCTATGCATGTCACTCATTTCACACTGAGCGCTATGTACACTCACTGGTTAATTTATAAGGAACACCTACATTGTATCTACACTCATTGTACATCTTATCTGATCCACTTACCATAAAGCTGCATTCTGTATGGTTACAGATTGTAGTCCAGCTGTTTCTCTGCGTAATTTGTTATCCCCTTTACCCCATTCATTGGTGGTCAGGACCCCTACAGGACCCCACTGAGCAGATATTATTTGAGTAACAAATCTATCACCATCAGATAAACAGTAATTAAAACGTTTATTGGAGAGAAAGATGTTACAGCTCATGACAGTTGTTACAGCTGTTAATAAAAAAAAGACATAAGGAAAGTAAATTTACATTAGAACATCAACACTGAACATCTAAGATGTGGAGTAAGTTTTTATGGATTCATGCATGTAAATTTTTAATTGGGATTACTTAGATTTTGAGAAGCAGAAAATGCAAACAAACTTCTAAGAAAGAAAAAAAAAGGGCAACACCTAAATATTTTTGAAAACGTTCTTTTAAAAAATGGCTTTTTGCTTTTCCCCCAAGTTGAAAAAGACTTCTGACCGAGACCTGAAAATGCTAGAGGCTCAGCGGACCATCCAGAGCTGCCCAGTGAGTTCCACTGTTCCAAATATTTATGAAGCTATTAAGTCATGTGTGCCAATGCTGTGTAATTCAAATAACACATAAAAGTCAAATCACTGGACAAGCACACAGAACCCCACCCACAATACACTACAGTAAGGTTGACTGACATATTCTATTGTGCCAGACTCTGCAAGAAGGAGGCCGGTACCTGATCACCACACAGGACGTAGCATTACTGAGCTGCCTTAATGAAGACATTGTTCCCTCCCTCAGGTACTGCTGACAAATATAGTACACAGTTTGAGTATAAGATAACTTCCGTAAGCCATGCTAGCAAGTAGACTACTGGTGTCGATTTGACTCGGGCCTTTTCTTCACGAGTAGGAATGCGCAAAAAGCAAATTTGCCACAAATAGCATATGCAATGTACTTTATCAACTTTATATAAAAGCGTAGCAATTTTCTAATCAAGAAATTCAAAAAAACTTTTTGGACAGTCTGTAGATGCAATGCATTAAATTACATTCAACCAAATCTATTAATAGGGTTGGGATGTAATGGAATGCAAGTATTCAGAATACAAAAATTAAGTATCTGTATTCAGTCCAGGTTACATTTTGTAAAGGCAGTATTCAGAATACAGTTACTTTTTGCATTTTTAGGAGAATACTTTTAGAATACTTATCTATAGAGAGAGAGAGTTAGAGAATCATCTTTCAGAAAAATGTCACTGCTTCTTAAGTAACTATTTTAAAATCAGCACTCAGCATGTAAAGGCATACTTTGAAAAGAACTCAAAAATGGCTTCTTTACAAACACTGATCTTAGAAGCCTGAGTAAACTGATAAATCACTGTGATGATCAGTTATTCTGAGTTTTAATAAACTCTTTTGAGGGATGACTGAACTGAACAGTCTCCTCAGTGATAAGCTTAGCTTTAGTATTGTACTGAACTTGCGCATGCGTTCCGTGGCAAGTTACATAACTATCATTACCTGAAAATCATATACCTACCCACTTTAAAGTCAAACTTGTTATTGGGATAAGGTGAATTGTCGGCTTAGGTCATGAAAGGGCAGTGGGATTGTGGGAGCAGCAATGACTGAAGCAGGCAATGAGAGCCAAAATAATGTTGAGAATTTTGTATTAATTTTTGTATTCCTCTAAATATTTGATTTTTTTCATGAAACATATTAACAGAGGAATTACATGAGCAAAACTGACAACCAGTAACAGTGAGGTACAGTGTGAATTAAATAAGAATTATGGTGGTGGTGTATTCGGTATTCAGTCATCACTACTTTTTCAAAGTTTTGTGCCCAGCCCAGTATATTAACATCACATTGACCAGCCCTAAAAGTATTACTCTAAAATCTCTCTTCTCTATAGGATGTATGAGTGTGTAAGTGAGCTGGGTCTGTTCCTTTTTAATGATGCCCTGGTGCTGACTGAGAGGAGAGTGTCTCACATGCCGTTCAGGTTGGCTGTAAATACCTCCCACACATTCCTGGCTTCCATAGCTCTGCACAGCCTCAGTCTCTCTGAGATAGTGGACACAAAGTGTGAGTAAAGTAATCTCCACACAGATTATCTCTCTGCTTGGATTGTTGGGTAGTCTGAACTAGTTTGACATCTGATACTGAGAGAGAATCAGAAATGCAAGTAATAGTTCTGATTAACTGAGACATGTTCAAAGCCATTGTAAAGTATTTAATTTAAACACATTTGACCACACACATCAGGTGAATAATGTGCTAATGCACCAAGTTATTAAAAAAGATTGTGCTGATCCCGCAGCCATTCAAGACTGGGAGTCTAGGACAGCATAATTTACCGCATTTCTCTGGGTGGGTAGGATCGCCCTCCTTTTCCCCTCATGGGCATCTGTTAGCTAACATAACAGAATTGTCAGTTAACGTTCTCCTCCAAGCATGCTGAGCTGTCCAACGATGTTGTGTTAGCACCAGTTTATTTGGAGGAAGCTTGTGCTGTCCTTCACTTTCACATGTCCTTCACGTAGTATCATGTGATTGGGGGAGACCTAGCTAGTGGGTGGAATTGGATATGATTAAATTCAGGAGAAAACTGGGGGGAAAAAACAACTTGTGCTAACAGAATGTAATATCATTATGTTGCTTGGCAACCATCAATTCTAGAAATGGCATTGTTTGTTGCCGTTTTATACAAGCAATAAGCAACTTCAGGCCATGCTTTACAGTGATTTTATGCCATGTCGAGCCTTACACTACCCCTTACCCATAACACATTTATTGTAATGCACAGCTTCTCATGGCTTATTACTAGGGTAATATCATGATAAATTACAGTCATGTAAAGAAGTAAGTACATCCTGTGAAGTTTAGACTTGTTCAGCATATTTGGACATACAGATATCAAGTTTTAAAAAATGAACATTTGATCATTCTTTATATATTAAAATAAACAGGAATGTAGTTTCCTTATGTGGAAAAAGTAAGTACACCTCTTTATATATTACTTCTTCAAACGCGTCAAATTGAAATCAGGTGCACCCGATCGAGTACTAATGATTAGAACACGGTTAGGGAATATCTTGGAGGAGCTTGTCTTAACCTTTAAACCTCTTATATCTGGTTTCATTTGCTTTGTTATTGGAGTTGGGGTATCATCATGCCTAGACCAAAATAGGTCTGGGAGGGGGTTTGAGAACTTTTTTCCAAAATATTAGTTTCCGTGGTCTGGAAGATTACCTATAAGTGGAAAAGATTTACAACCACTGCCAACTTGTCCAAGCTCCACCTTTTTTTCTCAGCTTTCCAGTCAGTGTACAGCAATTTTTGCTATCTGCCATTTCCTCAAGCTCAGTTCTTTATCAGCGTACCAGTGTTTGAATCTGTATCTGTAAACATGAGATTCTGTCTCATAGAGTATGTTGAGTTCTACCATCATCGTTGCCATTTTTCCTTGTTTTTGCACATATCTGTTGTCTGATTTAATCTCAGTCATATCGTGTTCTTTGGGTCTTGTGTCTACCAAGCTGGCCTACTCTATTGTTTTACAGGTCTACCCAATGGTTTATTTCTGCCTACGCCACTGAAACAACTGATAGACTATAGCTTGTTGTAGACTTGAGTTGTTATGATGATTGATGGTTTTACAAACTGTACCATACGCCACTGGAGAAGTGTCGCGTGACAGATTGTACTGAGTTCAGCTAGCACATTTGAGCTCAATTTGAAGTTCATCAAATGCAAATTTCAAACCTTGATCAACTATGGCTTTTAGTGTTTTGGAATTCAAATGCTGCTGAGGGATTTTAAAATGGACTGTACATGCAAGTATATGCAAGTAAAACATTGCACAGTTGGAATAATTCTGTATGGAAGAATGAGCAAAAATTTAGTAAGTTTAGTAAGTTAGTAACTGATAGACAGTTATAGAAAATGCCCACAAGTTGTTTCTGCTAAAGGGGGTAATACCAGTTACTGAAGCCAAGGGTTTACTTACTTTTTCAACAGATTAAAAAATTATATCTCCATTATTTTTGTTTAAATAAATGATTGCAAAGTCAATTTTCCTTAGTTTTTGTTCCATTATGTAACGTTTATCTATACATACTGTTTAACTGATGATCAAACTCTGATGTGTCCAAATATGTCAAAAAAGCTGAAACATTTCATTGAGTATACTTCTTCACCTAAATGCCCTTCACATTACATCATAATATGCTTTTCTGAGCATATCAAGGATATTGTCAGCACTTAAAGAACACTGATCAATTTCATGTTTCATTACAAAGAGAACATCATTAGCTTTGCTGGACCAGATTTAAAGCAATGCAATATTTAACATTTTGAATAAAACCATTGTATGACACTGCGGGTTTCTTTTTTTCTGTTACAACTTATCAAACCACAGAAAAAAATAAATATCATGATGCATATCATGTATTGTGAGAATGATCTTGAATTGTCATTGTGCTGTGTTTTTCGACGAACCTTATTACTTTGACATTACAGATTGTATTGGAATTGTCCTGGTGACAAGAACACATTTGTAACAATAGTTGAAAACCAATACTTGATCATATGAAAGAATAGATTGCTGATCATAGTTCATACAGAAGGAAAAAGATGCCTGGTTATGCGACCGCAGCTTACAGTAGACCTCTGATCATGTGATAATGAGCAAGCATAGCAGCCGGAATTCAATAATGTTGTTTTCAAATTCCCTCCACAGATGTGCAGAATGCTTTTCGCTTGGAGAGCCCAAAGCGCCAGTGGATCTGTGCCACGGACAGAGAGGAGGACAAGATCAGATGGCTGGGTGCTTTACGAAGTGCTATAAATTCAGCCAAGCACAATTACGGCAGCAATGGGTCAATAAAGTTTATGTCAGCAGGGTATTGAGCACAACGACCTGAATATATTAGCTTTTAACAGCTTGGAGGATGTTTAACGTTGAATAACAACAACAATACAATACAACAATGCTTTGATAATTCAACCTGCAATCAAAATTGACCTTCTTGGCTGGTTTAGATCATGTTAACACTCTAAGATTGCGATCATTTTATGAGTGTGACCATTTTGCACTGTACTAATACATTAATGCAAAAAATATATAAAGGCCATACTGTAAGACAGTGGTCACCAACCCTACTCCTGGAGATCTACCAAATTCACTTCCAACCCTGACTGAAGACATGTGATTCAGAACGTCACTCCACCTAATTAGTTGAATCAAGAATGTTAGTTTTGGTCTGGAGCAGAATTCTACAAGAAGGTAGAGCTCCAAGAGCAGGGTTGGTGACCACAGCTGTAAGACTTGCAACAACACATATAAAAAATAAACATACTTTAAGACTACAGTGAAAAACTAGACTTAGCTGTCAGAATTTTCAAAGATGCATCAAAGTGTACATTACTGTTCTCATGTCATTTAAAAGTTCTTATACACCACAAACTGCATGTCTGATATAATGCCATTTAATTCAACTTATAGCGTACAGTCTTCACTGGTATTCTGAGTAGCAGAGCAGCAGTAGTCAAAAGGATTTCTCTACAAGAGAAAACTCTACAGGTCAGCATGTGCAGAATTCATGGGCACATTTAAATATTTTACATGAGCAACACTAAATCACTATTCTGCTTTTTTTTCAGGACCCTCTCCAAGTTAGCCAAAGCTAAAGCTTTAACAAATTAATTACAGTAATTTAAATAATCCAGGTACAAAAAAGGAAAATTACAGTACTTTGTACAGAATATCATCCCAAAAAAGAAAAACCAAAACCAAACCCCCCCAAACCTTTCTTCAAACCACAAGAAAGTTAGGGAATATAAGTCTAGCCAATCCAATAGGCCTAATATGTGTCAGTGTAAGCATTACTTAACTAGTATTTGTCAGAGCCATATGCCTTCATATATACAGTAAATTCAACCAATCACACATTTTCTATAAAATGTTGGTAACCCATGTGGCCAAACATCTGACTAGCAGCAAGCCAGTAAAATGTGATGTCACTAACAAACACATTGTGATCTTGTTCATTATTTTGTTTTAGTTATTTTGTGTTTTATGAAGATGATTCTTTTTAGACACTTCTGGGCTAAGATAATCATCCTTTCCAATTAATGTCATGCTTTTTACATTCTATTGTGAACAAATAATAAGAGTAGGGATGCATGATGACATCAGAAGCATATTGGTCTTTGTAGATAATTGCTTATTAGCATCAGACAGATCAGAATAACTTTCACTGATACTTAAAGATGTATTTATAGTACTCTAAGAACACAAAGTTTATGTGACAGTCTGCTTCTACTCTAAAATATTTGTTTTATTCATTTTACTGCAGTTTAACACTACAAAAATACACTTTTTAATGTTTGTGTATGAACATTGCTATCAGCAGATGCGTGCATGAAAAATATTATTTCAGCATACAAATCCTGTATCAGTGCATCCCTAAATAAAAGTGTTAAAGTCATTACACCAAACCATGTTGCTGACTAAGTACTACTTTCACTTATTTCAGAAGTGAAAGATAAATCAATCTTTGCAGCAAATCCCACATACATTTAAGATTCTGCACCAAAAATATGAATCAATTTCCAGTGTACAATTTTTCTTAAGAATATACAATGTAAGTACTGTTAACATATACATATATATATATATATATATATATATATATATATATATATATAAAATGAACTTGCATAAGACTTATAATTCAACAACCCCCTGCCCACAAATCATCCTTCATTAAATCTTCATTAAATTTCACAGATCCACATGCTTCAGTGACCTCCAGTAAGTAAACAACATCCAGGAAGAATGTAAGATAAGCGTCAAAACAAGGCAGTGTGTTCCAAGTATATCTACTTTAGTGGTATCGTATACAGATAACCCTCTAGTAAATCCAAGGCACACTCAGGAAGATGCTGTGTTCTTTGCTTTCTACTTTGCTGCACATGGCAGTTAAATATTTAAATATTAAAATGATTCTTTTAATAATGGTGTCTAGAACTCATCTGCTACAGCACTGAATTTCTTAAGTTCTTATCACAAACACACCATTTACAAATCTACTTACATAATCACTTCTTTCATTAATAAATCAATTAGATGAATCAAGACCATTAAAGAATGCCTTAGTTCCACTGCATGGATCATTTTCATTGCGTAGAAAAACTGTCAGCGTTAAGATAAACTTTCAAAACTACACTAGCAACATACAGAGCAGAATTTATTTATCCTTTAGAAAACTAAGCAGGGCAGAGCTTGGCTCCTAACCCTGTGCCTGCCCTGCTTTTCATTAGTTAGAAAAGAACTGTTCTGAGTAGCTGCACACTACACTGTAGTGTTTAAAACATTTACTAAAATTAAACCTCCTCATCAGCTCATTTAGAACTAGCTATACTTATTGCAATGACTCAGAGCCAAACACAGCAGATTCAAAGGCAGATTTGTGTGCCAAGAGTTCAGCACCCAGGCTTTGTGAGATTTGGCGTGTCTTTGCAAAGTCTATCTTGTGTAGTAGACTCTGTAATACACAACCTTTGATCTCCAGAGTGAGTATGAATTGTCGAATTTGAGTAGGTAAACTCCGTGGCCTGGGTACTGGTGACTGCCTGCGTACACTTCCTCATGGCTGTCCCGACGAAAGACGGGGACCACTTCGTTCACATGAGGGAGGCTGCTTCCTGTTTGGCTCTCTGAATTTCCTTTCTCTTCTTCAGTCTGGCCTGTGTTGGAAAGAATTACATGCAGCTGGCATTAGTTTTGAGATGGTATCTGCTGGGAGTGGGCAGTATGATGATATTTATTGTTATTGTGACAAATTACATCACAATGCACTTCTCTGGTTATTTTATAGGTCAGTACTTCTAGAACACTGAACAACTGCATCAATTATCAGTATATAGTAACTGTATAAAATGCATAGTTACAAATAGTGCATTAAATGTAAGCCCATTATGAGGTCATTTTATTAATTTATTTTTAACCACAGATTTTTCCTCTGATTCTCTCCTAAAGTTTATTTTTGCAAACATTTAATTAGAAAACTCATTCTACTCATAAGTTTTTCATAGCTTCAGTAAAATGGGGCAGTCTTCTTTCGCTGTTGCACTTAAAGTAAATATCTGGATACACAATGTCATCACAATGTTTTCAAGTGTTGTGATGTTCTATAGTTTCTGCTGCTTACCAAGGAAACATATGCAACACTATCACTTATCAGTAAAATGTACCGTTTAGAGAATCCAACACTTCACATGATTTATAACAAGCTACGTTTTATAATACTGTAATAAAAAGGTTATCTGTAGGTCACAACACCTACTGACTGCTGCAAGCTGTTAGAAAACAGTTACAATATATCAGCTTTGTGACAATGAGATCACATAAAGTGAATTTTTAACAGCTATTATTCTCATGAGTCATAAGGCTTTTCAGACAATTGTAGGTATAATGCTAACGCTGATGCATTATAATTTAATTAGTAATTAAAATAGTTATATGTTATAAAAGTTATAAAAGTTATATAGTTATATAGTTATAAAAGTAATTAACAGTTTCTTCTCTTACCTGTCTCTTGGTTTTCAGAAACAAGTTCCCCTGTTTTCTCAGTACTTGTTCCATTTGCTGTGTTGGGCCACTCAAAGTATAAGCCAAAGCCAATATCGTAGTAGTCTGTAGCAAATTCCCAGAAGAGGTAAGTGCCATCTTCGTGAGTGGGCACCCGCACAGTCAGCACCTCCCCTCTCCCCACAGTGATCACAGATTCTGCATCCTGCACCATCTTCTCCTTAAATTCCTTTATCTGAGGCCTTGTCCACATGGAGGGAGCCAGGATGGCCACATCTGCAATGAATGGAAAGAATGATGAGTGAGGTTAAAGGAATACTTAATTCAAATGGAGCCAACAATGAATACATGTAAGTGGGGATTAGACTGCGTGGTTACACTTGTTTAATGGTATTTAATTTGATCCATTATTCGCCAAGGAATTCAGTATGCATTCATTCAATTCAGAATGGAATGACTGTTTAGGTAGTTTTACATAAAAAGCATCTTAAAATGTTTGAATTTACAAAGAGTTGTGAGGATATGTTTAACTTCAAAAACCCTTAAACTTCTAAAGCATGTTCCTAATGTTGTAAAATAGGTTACATTTTTAAAAGGATACATACCTCCTGGTTTGCCATCTATGAATAAGTGACATGGTTTTGGGTTTGCCTCATGCTCTTGACTCTGTGAAGAATCTGACTGGCTGCTGGTATTTTTGACTGATGCAGGGTCATTTGAATGAGGAGGTGGTAGCTGAGCAGTCTGACGTATGGCTGAGTCCTGCTGTCTCTGCAAAGCCTTCTGTATGCACACACCGAGACACATATACCCACATGCACTTATTAGTGAAACCCTACTAAATTCTAGGCCTACACCTAGATTCAGTTTGGTTGTTTATATATACATCTAGTCATCTGGTCGATGTTATGCAAAGCAACTTATAAAAATGTGCAAACAGTAGAAGGCAAAGTGTTCAAAAATACGGTACTGTGCAAAAGTCAGACACCACCCTCCATTTACATAATTTCCATGGCCATCATGTATGGAAGCATATCAGTTTAAAAATTAAAATGAAAATGTAATATGTAAATTTCCCATCCATTAATGCAATGTTGAGCTCAAAATGGAATGGAAACAGCACCTTTCCTCTTTACAATTACATATTCTTGCTTACTGTGTTCATTCTGAGGCAAAATGCTTTTCAAAATGCATTTGACCTGATAGCATTCCCAGGACTTCCCAACCTGTCAATTATCCCATCAGGATGGGGCCAACAGCACGCTCAACGGAATAGGCCTTATCTGAAAACATGGCAACTGATCTTCCTTTAGAAGATGAAGCAAAACAGAGTAATATGTCATTTTATGATGATTACATGAAGAATCCTTAATCAAACATGTGGCAGATCTTTCTGTTTTTTCTGTTTTCTGTCTGAAACATTTGTCACTGGTAGCTGACCATAGGATACAGATGTGATAGACAGAGATTAATTCAGCATAGAGGGCATCTTCTAATGTACACAGCGAACATCAGATGTGGATACATTGCTGTGTGCCACTTTATCTGTTACCAACCATACTGTTGGCCCCTCCCTGACGGGATGATGGACAGATTGGGAAAATGAAAATGTAATCTCGACAATGTATTTTCAAAGACATTTTGCCTCAGAATGAGGCAGTAGGCAAGAATACATATTTCCATAGAAGAGAGGCCCTGTTTTCCATTTGTATTTCTATGCTTGGTGTTTTTTGATAATGTATTATCAATTAGAGAGTGAAAATCCATATAAGATAAATTACATTCTAATTATCATTTTGATACAGTTATTGCATAATCACATTAGGCAAAAAATCTGCAGTTCTAGAAATACATTTTAATTTAAATAAAGCTACTCATAAAGCATGAAATGGCAATACTAGTATACAAAATCTTTGCAGCAAAATCGCAGTACTTAATTTGAATTCTCATTTTGAGCTCAACAACGCATATATGAATGAGAAATTAAAATTTAAACATGCATTGCCATTTTACATATTACATTGTCATTTGAATTCTGATGCTAATATACTTCAATAAAGAACCACCAAAACTGTCACCATCAAATAAATAATACTTTAATTCTTTTAGTGGTAGGAGAAAGCTCCACTCTTGTTTCAGATCTAAAAAAATCCACAGGTGTTTCTGTCCATCTTTCCATTGTCAAAAAGCCGTTATTGAGAAAATGAAATAGACCAAAAAGAAGAAAAAATGCAAATCAGTTCTCAGTGTTCTCAGAGCACTAACCTTAACATCATTCTTTGTGCAATGCAACAAACTTGTAAGAGTGAACTTTGATGGTGTGTTTTTCTTTGAAAAACTGAAAGCAAGAACGGAAACTGTAATAACAGTAAAGCGTGGACATACTAAATATTGAAAAATGTGTTTAGTTGCTGAGGCTTCTGTGTAATTTTTTGTTAAATATAAGTTTTCTACTTTTTTCCTGACACTGAAAAATTAATATCTTAATGACCATTTTGACTGGAAATTAAATAAATGATGGGTGCTCTCTGACTTTTGTAATGGACTGTATGTGGGAAAAATCTGCACCTGAAATTCTAACTTGGAGTAAACACAAAGAACTGCAAATGAATAGATTAGGACGTGCCGTAAGTGTTTGATTTACCAAAAGTCCAAATACAAAAAAATATTGAGCTGTTACTACAGACTAGATCAGGCCAAAGAATGGCCTGAGGAGTTCAAGTGTAAGACCATGCTTTGAAACAGCTTCTTTTCAAAACCAAAAAAAAAAAAAATACTTTTCTAACCAAGATCTTACCCTGATTTAATTATTATTTGATTCAGGCAAGTAATGTCCTCTAAAATGATTGCCTTCACAATCATCACTGTTTAACACACTTAACTGTTTGTCTTGTGGGCAGAGCAGTTACATTTTCAATGAAGTGCAAACCAGTTTCATACTTTAACCACAGAGCCCCACAAAGTTTATAGCAACAGCTGGCTGGTGGAAAAACAGGTTCAGTTACTTAGGCCCAGCCCAATCACACGTAAAAGCAAATTTCAAACCTGCTGAACTTGGTAGGCCTGTTGGATGTACTGTTGAAAGTGCTGCTCCTGAAGCTGTTGAATGAGCAACTGCTGCTGTTCTGGACTGTCAGGGAACTGCCGCTGTGCATACTGTTGGAATTGCACGGCTGTCTGTGCATTCAGAGCAGCCATGATCTGTTGCCTACAAACATGCATGCATTACAAATGACTAGTACTGCACAGTATATTGTTTATTAACTGTTACAGTGAAACTGGTCTTTGCTACACTGATATCACAGAAGGCTGCAATATTCAAATGAGCCCTATAAATAATCTTTTTTTTTTTCACATTTTTACTGTGCACTGTGAGCATTTTGACAAATCACTTCACTTTCTGTGGATGTTTAATGAATCAAGATATTCATATAATAACAAAGTAAATGTCTAGTCTTTAATCACAACTTTAACCATGTCACATTATTTATTCACCAGTATTTCACAAAATATATTCTCTAGATGCATCATGAGTGCAACATGTAACAAAATAATCAGAATACACTTTTTTGTCTACATCGTTCAGCCCTACAAACTACTCAGCCTGGCAGATATAACAAGCCACTGTTCTATTGTCACTAATGCATTAATGCATAATGCACCAACTTTGTGAACCAGTTGAACACAACAGCACAGTAATGTTACAACTACTGCCACATATTTTTCTGCCATTTTTTCACCAATGCTGATTTTTCAGGATGTGCATTTAACTTCAGTAATGTTTTTTTCAATGCAACACAATCACTATAAGAATTGTGACAAATTAATCACTACAGAGAGTTTAGCAGCCCAGAAGTCTCTTTAAAAAACAGTTTTTACACAGATGAGAGCAAATGTACGACAGTAGTACTTACTTCTGTTCCACCATTATTAACCGATCTGCTTCCTGTTTCCTTCTCTCTTCCTCCTCCTGCTTCCTTCTCTCTTCCTCCTCTCTTTGACGCTGTTCTTCCTCTTGTTTCTGTCGCTCCTGCTCCTCTCTTTCTGCCCTGAGACGTTCCTCCTCTTCTCTTCTGCACACAGACATATATATACACACACACAGTCTTAGGACATGTGAGTCCTTCTTAGCGCCCTAGGAAAGTGTCCTAACGAACAATAAAGCTACTTTAGGCAGCAGGTAGGTCTATGGTTAGGGTGACTGTCCAATATCTGGAGGGTTACGAGTTTGGTCCAAAATGAACATAATGGGAAACTGACTGTGCTCTGCCCCCAAATGGATTCTTTCATAGCTACTATTATGAGGTCAGACAAGCTTTACAGAACCTTGGCAAATTGTGTTTAGTCTAATGAGAAACTGTAGTGTGCACATCAGTTTTTGTCATAATACATAAATTTAGAGTGTGTTAATCATTCCAAATTATACTTTGTTTATACTTTATTTGTATCATGTTTATGCTAACACTAGTATGGTGGCAAATATGTTGTAGTTTTTAACCTTCCTACCTACAACAACATAGTTCACCACAATTTCATGGCACTGAAAATTCAATGTTATGTAGACTCTTGCCTAAATTCATTAGATTAAAAAAGGACCTTTGTCATCATTCTATAAAGCTTGTCATACCTCACAACAGTTATTCACACATATCTATTTAGGGTATTTTAGGACAGGATGTGTTCCTTATGCACATTCCCTCTTACAGTTACATTGTCCCAATAGCTAACAAGTGGACTAGACATTGATTATATGTATGTCTGCAGGTCACACTTACAATCTTCTCTCTTGTTCTTCTTTCTCAATCTTGTGAGAGGTGACATATGGTGAAAACAGACTACAGCAGGAGTTCAGAAGCTTCACAAAATCCTCCATGGCATCCTCTTTGGCCATGCTGCCCAGTCGTGCCCATTCTTTCCTGTTATTTTCAAATCATAAGTAAAATATAGGGTCTCTGATTGGGTGAACAACAAAATTAATCGCAGAGAAACGTATGCTTGGATAGGTATCTTACACCATTATGAAACATTTACACTTTCTCTCTGTTTCAGTTGTGCAAGAACGGACACATTTACGTAGTTATGATCATGTTATTTATTGGAAAAACTTAAAAATGCTTCACGTTGCCTGTGAGCTGAGGACTACCAGCGTGTCATAACCTAAGAATCCTTCTTTCAGAAGTTACCTTCGGTCATTTCCCAGTACATCAAAGAACCCAACTTCTGGGCAAGCATTAGGGTTATATGGGCCAAGTGAGATCTGCTTATGAAGTGCAACCAACCGCAGGTTTTCTTCATATGTTGGGTTGAAAGCCTTTCCATTCATTTCTGCAAGGAGGTAAACAAACAAACAAACAATTATTAATTAATGAGTTAATTAAGTTTAATATATATATATATATATATATATATATATATATATATATATATATATATATAAACACAGAGTTTTGTGTACATTTTTACATTACATTACATACACTTTTTTAGCACACAAAAACAGTACTCTGCAGAAGAATAGTGTTAAGTATATAATGAACACAAGCACCATATGCACTTATGAGTTAGACTGTATCCTCAAGCTGACAGAAGGGGGTCTGTGAATAGATCGTGATATACAGAAAAGGCACTTCACTGCTTTAATACGTCTTTTAACGCAACAGTTGGTCGTAAATTAGTCACACCAGTTAGAAGACACCCATAGTTCGCTGTACCTTTAAAAAATTTAAGCGCCAGCCCGAATATTTCCTCTAAAGAGAATCCCCAGTTCTTTTCCATGTTCCACTCTTTCTGATCCTCATCCTTCTCAGGCGCTTCTTCATTTTCACTTCCCGCAGCGGGGAACTCTGTGTTGTTGTTTTCAGAAACTTGCCCGAGTCCATTGCTGCCAGCAGCTCCGAACTCCTCCGTTGCCATCTCGCTGCTCCAGGTGGCCACGTCGCCCAACGGAGCAGGAAAAATCTTCTTCCGTATTACCCGACCGGAAATTCCGCGATATTTACTAATAATTTACTCGTTAAGCAGCCCGTGTTTGCAGAGGGAAAAACAAACGATACTTGTCAGTGGATATACGTTCTTTACTTGTCCTTAGATTTATCTGTGCAGTCTGTGTCAGCAGGTTATCTGTGTTCGTCTGCTCACTAAACACTTCTGTCAGTCCGTCAAACAATCTCAACTTTATGAGCCACATTGTACTCCCAGTGTACACTTACAGCGCAGGCAGCAGTCACGTGGGGTCGTGTAAGGCGTTCTCAGGTAATACGGGACAGTGCACTAAGTTGCATGGACCCAGGAAATGTCGGCAGTATCTGAGCTCAGGACTGGCTTTCTCTCTAACCTATTGTTAACTAGCGAAGATACTTTCTCTGGATAGACAAAGCACTTTTGGATAAGAGCGTCTGTTAAATGCTGTAAATGTAAATGTCAGCCTTTTATTAAATTTCCCATTAAAAACAGCAATGTCTTTTGGGCAATTTATTGAGGATACACTACCGGTGCTCAGCTCAAGGGGGAACACTACCGATTTTTCACGAAAAATCTGCTTAACTAGAGTGGTTTGTTTTGAATCGTTGTATTGGAACGAAAATTAGCGGCTCGGATTTCTTTACTACGATGGCGATAAAAAACACTGGTTTTTATGTCTACAGTGCAAATAGACATTTTTCTAAGAACAACCAGTTTCTATATGTAAAGTTGATAATGGTAAATCGTAGCAATTCTGAATAAGTAGGTTTCCTTTGAATACTATTTTGAACTGGTGATGTTTCAGGCCAAAAGCTTAGCTCTGAACTATCATAAAACATAACTATTCCATGCAATAGCTTCCTGTGATTTAGCTTTCAGTGGCATTAAATGTTTGGAAATCTGGTTCCGATTACCTTAGCATTGAACTATTCTGACTTGTTTTTTTCTTGTTTCTCTACCACAGAGTTTTGCCACTCTGAATGACCTTTTATTTCCTAACGTTTTATTACAAATGTTAAACTGAAGGAAAAGGGTTATTGGTAACTTTTTAACTGTGACCAAAATAGAGATTTTTCTCTTATGTAGGTTTTTTGAGAATGTATATTTGCATGAAATAAAACCATCCAAAACAATTCACGTGTGTTATGGCCTTTTTAATCAATCAGTCTCAACAACCCAGAACTGGAAAAATGCACAAAGCCAACATAAAGCATGAAAAAATAAATAAATAACAAAAATCATCAAATGACATTCAGCTGAGTAAAAATCAGCATTACACTGCAGGAAGTGCAGTGCAATAGCAATGAGTGTTCTTGCAGATTCGGTGGCACATCTCAGATTGTCCCAGTGCAATTAGCAGTGAAGGCGTGGAGGTTTCCTGTTTGACAGAGACCACTCTGGATGTGAGCTACGTGGATCTCCACATTGTTCTGAAAGCAGCTGGACAAGAAAGTAAAACATTTTAACATCACAACCAGGCGTAACTGGTCACCTTGCCCAAACAAACTGCCTGAACAGGTTTGCAATGGAAATCTAACAGAGGCAGGTTTGAAGATGTACTTACCGGACATTGGAGCTGTCAAGGGAGCTCTTTATGTCATTCAGCGATTCTGTTAGGGATTTAAATTCAAATGAGTTTAAATCATCTCCTTCTGCCAAGGACTGCAAGTGAAAGAAAGGGAAAGAAATACTGGAATTACAATTGATTCATGTTGAACAAACATTAGCAATTCATTAAATGTGGCTTTGTGTCATTTCACACAGCTTTTTTGGTTAAGGGTCTAAACAGTTTATTAAAACAGATTATAATGACCTTAACATACTGAGGATAGCCATGGTATCTTTTTTTTGCACTCAACGGATTAACAATCCCCGTCTTATTTACTACACATAATCTGGCAGCCTCTCTGAGGTGCATGGGTTTTTGTTACTTCATGGCATCTCACTTTAACAACTCTTACTGCTTAACGCACTTTGTTTCTCCCTCCATTTGACACTGAACTGATTAAGGTAAGAACAGTTAGCAGATATTTTGGATATGCTGACATTACAAGCCTGTCAATCATTTCAGTCAGTTCTATTCTGCCTGCACTGATGGTTCACATTCTGACGAGACCGCTGTCACTGCAGATGCACAGCAAGCACAAAGGGTGTGGATCATTTGTATGATGTTACTGTTTCGGATGCGTGCAAGAGGGTTGTTTTAGGGTACAGGTGTTCACACAAAAGACAGACATGGGTAACATACAAAAATAAATGTAACCCATGAACAGAGAAAAAGACTAGATCTGAGTAAAATCTGAATTGAGTAGGCTCAAGGCTCATTATGTAAATGAAGCCGAAGTGGTTTAAATCTTATTTGAAAAGATCTTGGTGTTCAAACAGTTCAGAAAAAAAAAACAGTGTCACAAAGCCAAAAAAAAATTGTCACTTGACCTGTAATTTGGATGTAAATTTTGATGACTTGCAGTTTCAAAGAAGGTAACAAATATTAAACCTCTATAAAATATTGGTGCCTAACTTTTCACATGATCCCATTTCCTGGCAAAGACCCAATTATTTGGAACAATATCTCCTTTGAGTCTTCCTTGGCACTGTCCAAATGTACTTCCTGTTGTTACCCAAGCTGTACACAAATATTTCTCTAAATTTTGTTTTTACCTGAGGTAAGCATGATGAGTTTTTAATTTTGACCCAGAGGTCTATATCTACAAAGTTTGCACTTCACCTTTATTTGTAGCAGCAGTGTGGTGAGGTTGGTGATGAGCTGGGTCAAGTTCTGGCTGTGGACATAGCGCTGGCCGCTGGGCAGCTCGTTGGCTTGCCTGACGATCTCCTGAGCCTCTCCCTCACAGCGGCGCCTCAGTGCTGTGGATGGATCATTTGCAAAGGGACACTGCTCTGGAAGTAGCTGAACCAGACAAAGATAGCAACACTAGCTTTAGATGGAGTAACAAATTTATGGAAGGACCAGTAAGCCCTGACATTTGTCATGAATACCAACTTTAATAAACTGTAATAAAATAATTACAGATAATTAGAAATGTCTTCCAATACAAAATCATATGGTTCAAATGAAGCAGTTTTACTTAATCTGTGCTTTAGTGACTGATGTGATTATCAGTTGTTAACTGTGATTGGTCTTGTGATGACTGTCAGCTATCAAACTCAGAGTCTTAAGTAACAAATATTCTAGCACTAGCTACTAAATGTAAGGTTTGAATGCATTTTATGTTTTTGTTATTTTAAGATGGTGTTTTGTGTTCAAGTTCACCAGTTCAGCTTATGTTGTTGTGAAGAAGTCTTCAGAACTGAGTGATCTGCCTGACTTCAGAAGGTATCATTTTAACATAAAACAAGCAACTTCAAAGCAATAGCAGCACTTTTTATTGATATGCAGAACCTTAGCATCTGTAAATTTTATTGGCTGACCAATTTATTGGTCAGGCTCTAGAAACATGATTGCAATATCAAAAAACATCATACAGAACCACTGTGTCAGGTTCAAAACTCTGCATTCCCCAAAGTTATTATAAGATAAGACACAGAATGCTATGGAACTTACCTTAAATGAATACTGCTGGACCTCATTTAAGACTTTATTAAGAGCTTTGTTCAACTGCTCCACATCTAGCACAATGCTGGCATACTTCTTTTGAAATTCCAACTTCAATGGCTCTGAGTAGGATTTCTGTTAAAAATAAAAAGCTTAATAAATAAACGCTGAAACATAATCCTACTACATTGCCAAAGGAGTTCTGAAGCAAACAGCAGGGCATTTAATAGATGAGGTTATAGAGAAAACAAACTGACATCAAGTGTGCTTTCTGTACCATCTGCTGGTGTGTTCACATTCTGACCTGTTTTTCCGCCTCTGTGTTCATCTCTCTTAACTGCTTGATATGGTCTTTCTTAATTGATAGGATTTTTGATAATCGAGTCTAGGAGAGAAAAAATATGTTAATTTCATTGTTAATTTTAACACAAATTAGATTAAGAAAACAGAAAGACACCAACTAACCCTCGTTTATCAGTCACTTTTAACACTGCATCACAGGTACCTTCATGGCCAGAGCACAGAAGAGCTTCACACTAAGATGGCACTTACTAGTAAAACCCAACCCAGGGGGCCATTTCACTTCAAAAGCATGTTATTTCTTTATACAAAGGCACACTAGAGAACCCTTTAAAAAAAGGGAAGTCTACTGCCAAAGAACTCTTATCTGGTGTCATTAGGTTGGACACATGCACCACCTTCTGTTTACCGTTCCATAGAGCATCTACAGGCTATTTCTTAACAGCCATACAAGACTTGCATGCTTACTTAGAACGGTGTACAACCTCAAATGTCCTCGTCAACTGAACTGAACGCCAGATTAAATAATCCCATTGGTAGCCTTGATACGCTATGATATGCGTTATCTAACTGGGGACTTGCACAGCCTGCTCTCCATTATGCACCACATCATCAGTCTGTGGTCTCACAGCACCAACTTGTGGACCGTAGGTACAACTACAAAACACTCACAACTGAATGAGATGCTCAGAACTAATAATTATGTGCAGTCTCATCTGAAGCCCAAAAAGTGTGTTACATCTCACCAGTCTTTGGCTTAGGTGATGTTGCTACATAGGGAAAAGTGGAGCTCTGGGCCTCTGATGCCTATTTTGTCCATTTCTTTGCTCTGAATTTAATTAACAGGAAGTGCAAAAACAGACCTTGCTTCATATCCATCCAGGGACTGGTTTGTGGTGAACAATTATGCAAGACACGTTACCACACAACCTATCAACAATGATCAAAGTTCTGCTTTTTTGGCCTTACTCTCTCTGGCTTGGTTCGGGTGCATTTCCCACACGAGAGGCATCTTTACGAACAAATGCAGTGCATAAGTGGCCAAGGATGTGTTCGCTGTCAGGCTGAGCCACACACATACAGTCAGTTTTGCACCTGTTACCCAGGGGTTATCTGCAGCAGATGGAGTTTAGCTCCACACGTTTGTACTTGTGTTCTCATCATTAGCTACAATAAGAAGGGCCACGGCTGTGAATTCTGAGACTGCTTCAGATAGAGGCCTTAACTGCTTTATGCTGCCAGTAAAGAACAGCCGGTGTAATGCAGCCATACATTTCCATAGGCAGTAGCTTTGACATAGTGTTGAAACGACTGATATACAGGGGACTTTACAGAGGAGTTAAATACTACCATTTCAAATTCACTTCTTCAAGATACACAGTTGCTTTTACACACCGTCTTTACAGAAAA